AGAAGAAGAAGAAGAAGAAGAAGAAAGGAGAAAGAAAAGACAAAAAACAAACCCAGAAGATAAAAGCTTTCAGGAGATGGTATGGGAGGTGCACTTCTAAAGGTCCAAGTGAAATGAGACTCAAAAAAAATTATGCATTACTCAGGCAAAGGGGTCTCCTAGGTTCATCAGTCTCTCCAAGTATGTAAAGAAATGGCTAAAATCCCCTACTCTGAGTTAGCTCTATTTTCAATTGGCCACAAAAAATTAAAAAAAAAATTTCCCCTCAATTTCTCCTTGGCTATTACAATATAATGCAGAAGCATGTATTCTAAAAAAAAAAATGGGGGGAGGGGAAGGAGGTGGGGAGACACTAGGACATTTGAAAATCTGTATCTGATCCCCAACATTGCCTCTGCCTGAACAGTTAGTTCTAACTTCTGTGATTCCTTTAGTATTCCTGGAGCAGAAAATACTTTCTACCATGTGGATATCGAGGACAATGATATCATATTAATGACTGCAGAATCAAATTCTTCTTGATAAAATTCCTTATTATATTTTCTGTAGCACATGGGCTAATAAAATACCCTTTAGCTTTTCAAGGTTTGAAGAATTATTGCGAGCATAGCTTTATAAATCGGAGGAAAAGAAAGACAAATAATGTCTAGAGGCTCAGGATGAGCCAATATAAAACAGATATTTTGTTTAATCCTGTAATGTCTTATTTATACCGTGAAGATTTAATTTTCAAATATTTAAACTTGCTTCTGGCTTTTGTCTTTCACCCTCTTTGTTTTACATTTTAAAATGTTCTGGTGGGTTGCCATTACAATATTAACTTATCTACCTATTAATTTATTTATACATGGTTTTAAACACATCTCTTAAAAATGTAGACACTGTCTGGTTTTCGGAAAACACAACCCTCTTCTTTATATGGGTATTTTTTTCTTCTCGATGTCCAAAGATATTTCAGTTCTCCGCATGCCTTGGATTCCTCCAGTTTTCAAAGTGATAATTTTGTCCCAAATCATACAAGTTAGTCCTGATTGCCAATCTTACAGGCCCACACAATTTTGAGAAACTTTTGCGATTGGAGTTGAAATTATTTCGGGTCTAAGAAGCCAAAGAATTCCATTTGTTCACACACAGTGGTGCTCCACTCTGGCAGCTATTATATGTCATAACAATGGTGTTACTGAGGGGTCTACTAAAGTAAAATGGCAAGCAATTATATTTATAAAATCTGAAACTGAAAAAAATGTTAGCTTAAACATTAGTAAGCTTAAATTTTAGGTTGCAACTAAGAACATTTTGAAATATGTATACACACAAAATATTCACTTATTTTACTTTCTACATGGGATCCCAGAAAGTTCTTTGTATGAGGGCATTAATATGTAACTTCTTTAGTTTACACAGAGGACATTGTACCAGTTGCTCCTCCTTGATCCCCAGCTCTCTCCTCAGAATATTTTGCGTATAACAGCATCCTCCAATGTGGATTCCTTAGTGTTAATAGGTATTAAATGAGGGTGGGAGAAACGGAAAGTCTATGGTTAAATAAATTTGGGAGAAAATTTGTATTAAACAAAACTGAACAAGTCGTAGAACTTCTCAGAATCTAGAACACACCACTGTGCAATTTGAAACTCCTAGAGAGGAAAATATGATATAGAATTTTTCCCATTTTTTCCCCAAAGAAACATGTCCTGAGAGAGAGAGAGAGAATGTTTATTCACTGCAAATCTGCTCATTATTAAGGCTCAAATCCAAATTTCCTTCATGAGGCTCTTTCCAGTTCCCTCAGTTAAAGGTCATCCCTACCCCTTTGGTACATTATTACCACGCTCTTCAGTTTCTTTGAATTCTCATTCCCTTTCTATGACCCATCATTAAAAAAAATTTTTTTTGTATGATGTCTTTGTTCTCCACTAAATCAAATCATCTTGAGGTAATGGAACATCCACTATTCATCTATTTGTTTTTTTTTTGTTTTTGTTGTTGTTCAGTTAGCCAACATATAGTACACACCTAATGTAGCACCCAGAACTTTCTAGAAACTCAATAAATGTTTGCTGAAAGACTGAAGTCACCTACCCCAAATGTTTGCTATTGATTTCAAAAATTCCTCTGGAAAAGAAAATATGTTTCTTTACCTATTTGAGAATGAGTGGATTTGACTTTTATTCTTAAGTACATCTTTATGCCCAATTTAACATTGATTTTGAGTGACAGGGAGAGTAAATCACCATAACCAAAACTTCTACTTAAAAAATTCAAACCAGGAGTGCCTGGGTGGCTCAGTCAGTTGAGTGACTCTTGATTTCAGCTCAGGTCATGATCTCAGGGTCGTGGGATCGAGCCCCACATGGGGCTCCATGATCAGTGTGGGGTCTGCTTCTCCCTCTCCCTCTGCTCCTCCCCTGCTCATGTTCTCCTCTCTCTCCCTCTCTCTCTCAAATAAATAAATAAATAAATAAATAAATAATTTAAAAAAAAATTCAAACTTAACAAAAATCATGCAAGGTTGTTTTTATTAAGCTTTATGTTTAGATTACAGCTAAGTATTTCAGGCATTACTTCTTTTGACAAGCAGACATGACATTCAAGGAAACATTTCAACAAACTCCAATGAATTCACAACTACTGCGAACAGAACACATCTACTCTGCAGCTCAAAGGTGTGTTAAGGACTTAAAGGGGTTGTTAGAGAAAGAAGCTACATGACAACTGGACCTCTTCTATAACATGATTATCCTGGACGAGTAACTACAAGGAGAAGCACATAACTATTACAGAGCTTGGAGAGATCTCATATCAGCTCCATCCTTGTTTTATAGATAGGACTTGAGGGTCACATATCAGAAGATAAAGGATTCTTTCTGAATAAGCTACATGTCAAGTTTTCTATGTGTAGTTTTAATGCTAATATGATTAGCTTATGTTTAAAAAAATCAAGAAAAGAACAATTGTGCATTTAAAACCCACTACAATATATTAGCGACTATAGGAGATGCTTAGTCATTGAGGATTCTTCGCTCCATTCTTGTGGTTTCTTTATGAGTTCTTCTGAGAAATTTTCATTGTGACTGTCTTGACCTCTGTGTATTCGTGGAGACCATATTCTCCCCTAGAGAGAGGGGGAGAAACCCACAGAATTTAGCACAGCAGTGCAAATGTACCATAGTCCATGATTTAGTACAAATTTGTTCTTGCCTATCTGGCTAGGGACAATGGAAAATATTTTCTGTGTACAGAAGCATTTCAAATAGTAGCCAGCCAACCATAAGATATCTGGTCTCACATAAATCCCCCTGTGGGGAACCTTTTCAAGCCCCCCTTTTTTTTTTGGCATTTTAAATGACTATGTACATTCTGTTGATTTTCACATAAATTGTCTAGTTTTGACATCGTTCTATTTGACTATAAACAAGTTCACCACACACACACACACACACACATGCACACACACACACACACAAAAGACAGTTCAGTCCAACAAGAATTTTACCATTTCTAGTTTAGGTTTGAATACATAAGAAAGATAATAGCACAAAAGGAGAAATCGTAATATATAATCACTTGAGTAGTGGAGTAAAACTATAAATTCAAGTAGAGCTTAGCTTAACATTTTTATTGCGTGTGATTGGCCCAGAAATGGTAAGAGGGAATTTTCATGCTAACGTGCCCTGATACGGTTTGAAATAAAATATTTTCTAGCTGTAGTTTTAACAGTATCTCTTGACTTTTGGGACAACAAAACAAAACAAAACAAAAACCCTGACCTTTATTGTTAGAGTTGCTTGGTTGGTTTGTCTTTTTTGTTTGTTTGTTTTGAGAGAGAGAAGAGAGGGTTCATTGGCCCAAATTCAGACCTTTGGGCTTTTTGGGGTTTTGCGGTTTTTCTATTCATGCAACCCCTGCCATTTGCTTATACAACTCTTAAATCCAACCCAAGTGATCAAGAATTAACCTGAGTCAATCAGTTAGGATCCTGGTATCCCATTATTGGGTTTATCGAGAACTCCTACCAGTTTTGGAAACTGTGATTTACCATCTTTTGAAGAAATGACTAAAAACATTGAGTTCGTTATTCTCTATATTGTTTTGATGAGAGGACTGAATTGCATGTACATAGCAGCACTCTTAAAATTATAACACTCGGGCACATGCAGGCTTACAGAGGAAAATGATCTTGATCCTTTTCTATTCTACCCCTCCCTTCTGATGCTGTAGACAGGTATGTAGAAGACATCTTTTTCTCCTGGGTAACCTAATCCTCTTAACGCTGATTATTTTCTTGGGCAATTAAGCTTCTGAAAATACCTTCTAAAAGCTTCAATGAACATGTTCTTCAAAGTAATTAAAGGACTTAGCCTCAGTTGTCCGAAACCCATTAAAGGATAATATTTTAGTAAGTATTTGATCTCACAAAGTTAGATAAATTCACCCATGATTTTTGCCAATGGGCTTTCCATTGTATTTTGGGTGACACGGACACTTGAAACTCTCAGGAGAGTACTAAGTGTGATCATTGTCATACTCGGGCTGAAATAAATCCTGCTCCTAAGTATTCCGATGCATAGACATTCCCGTGTCTACGATATAACACAAACACATCCATGTGGCACTTCTCTTTTTCCTGCTGCTCTGTGAGTTACTGGTTCTGTACTTCTAAAATCCTCAAGGTACCAATCACCTGGGATTTTATTAGAATGCTGATTCTGTTTCACTAGGTCTGGGAAGAGGTCCAAGATTCTGTATTTCCAACAAACTTCCACTTGACACCCTTGCTTCTCACCTGGGTCCACACTGTAGTAATAAGGTCCTAGTAAGCGAGTTACATCTGTTTTTCACGCTGTACCCAGAACTGAGCCTGGCACTACTTAACTAGGCACGGGGATAATGTTTCCTGGACTGACTTGGCAAATATAACTGAACAAAAAAATATTCATGTGAGCTTTCTCTATAAATCCAGTAGATTATAACACTTTCATGCTCCCCTTATTCTGCAAGGGACAGGAAGAAAGAAGTATCTTGTGAAGGTGCCAAGAACCAATTAATGCAATGGTATGTATACTAGTAAAGTCTCCAGTGACTTATGTTAACTGAAGTGAAAACTAGTACAATTACACCAAGGAAGGAATTTCTATCATTTGACTCATTCCAGTGCCAGCACCATGATCGGAAACCCAATCCCAGGTCCGGGCACTTAGTATTACAACCACGCTGAGGTCTGTGCACCACTATTTTTGGCTCTTTGAGCACTCTCGTCCCAAATGATCAATTATACCTTTCTATCTCTAAGGATAAATTGTAATTGAACTCTTGGGAGTCATGTAAGTTTATTGCTTCGGTAATTCTCTTTAAACATCTTGTGGCAAATGACTTGTTTTAAGTTCACCAAATTTGGTTTCAGGTAGACATTAACAGCATCCTCAGCCAGAATTTTTGCAGTAAAAAATTACAGCATTACTCCTCTCTTTGTGTTTATATAGATATAGAAGGAAATTATCTATATTCACATAACAGAATTTTAAGAAATTATTGATGTTTGATTTTTTTTTTTTTAAGATTTTATTTATTTATTTGACAGAGAGAGAGAGTAGGGAGAGGGAGAAGCAGGCTTTCCACTGAGCAGGGGGCCCGATGTGGGGCTCCATCCCAGGACCCCAGGATCATGACATGGGCTGAAGGCAGACGCTTAACGAATGAGCCACCCAGGCACCCTTGATGTTTGATTCTTATTTTTCCATTTCTCTCTCTTACTTGATTTTCTTATGCCTCAACCTTAAAGTTGGACCAAACTGTATTCAACAAAATTGACATCTTTGGTCTACTTTAGTCAATTTGTCCCTTTTGATTGTTTTATCTTCAACATTCCTAGGAAAATGTGTTAGGTAGCTGGGCCAGCCATGAGTTAACTGTCCTTCAGAATAACCTAACCTTTGTTACAGCTTTTTGTACAGTAATTAGTTCTGCAAAGGGACTCTCTAATAGTGGATATTATAAAGAAAAAGAACCGGGGAAGGAAGGAACCATTTGCTGAGTCCCCACCTGGTCACAGAATGCTGGGGAATGGACACACAGTTTGTCACTTCACTCTCAAACAGCCATCTTAGGAGGCTTGTTAGCATCTCCATTTTAAATAGCAGTGAACTGAGGCTCAAAAGTTGGACAATTTGAAACAGGCTTTGTGGCTAGCAAGAGATGGAGCTGGGATTCAAGTGCAGGTCGGCTAGGGTCCAATCATCCTTCCTCTAGGACGCCATGTTCTTTTTATGAGTCGAGCTTTTGCCATTCTCTCTCCCCACCAACATTCTAAAGATATCCATGGCTCTTCACCACTTCCTTAACAAAATGTAAGCCAATTTTCTTGAATACAAGACTTCTTAATCTGTACCCTATTTAACTGAAATCATACTCTCCAACCCCATAAATCCCTACCAGGCATCCAAATTCACTAACCCCCCAACATGCCACATGTAACCTACTGTTCAAGAATGCTTCCCTTCTCTGCTTCCTGACATCCTACGTTTGTTTCATGCCCTAGATCAAGTCCTGTATTTTCTGTGAGGTCTTCTCTGACTCTGTCAGCTGCCAGTGAATTCGTATCCACTGAATTCCCACAAGGGTTAAAACTACAGAATCTTAAGTATGGAAAGGAGCTTATAGAGTCTCTACTTTGTTCTCCCCCTCCTGTCCCCACTCACGATTGCTGATTGTATCTGACAGATGAAAACCGTGAGAAGAGGAGCAATTCCATGAGTGTTATATTCTGGTGGTGCCCAGATTTTCTGTCCTTCAGTGCTGTGCTCTCCACTTTACCTGCTTTTCTACCTCCATGACTTAAGAACTCCCCGTCTATGACTGTTTACTTCATAGTGTGAGTAGGTTATTTTGCACAACTTATCTTTTTACAAATTTCTCCTGCCACCACAGTTACATGGAGGATGGGATGTGGTATCATGTATCTCGGGCTCCGAGGCCCTAATATACACAACAAATACTTAATGAACATATATTGAGAAGGAGGATGGATCATTTTATCATTCTTCCTTTTTACTGGCTCCCCAAAGATGACTGCTTCATTGTAATTTTGCTGATTTATTTAAATGACAAAGTAGGTGGCTATTTAATGTATTCATGACCTTTAGAAACTGAGACTCATTTTTACTTGCTATTTACAGAATGAGCAGCTTTCCTATGTTTGATTCCATAAGGTTTGTATATGATGTGTCTTTATTCCTCATGACTTTTAAAATGTATTAATAACAAAATGACTTTTAAAATGTATTGGTAACAAAATTAACGAAATATATTGCCACCACTTTCTGTGTATACATATGTATATGCACATTTTTAAAAAGTCTATATACCCAGGTTTCAAAAGCAACTTGAAGGCTTGTAAATGAATTTATATATATTCTCAATCTAGTCATGACTATAAAACATGTTTTCCTTCGTCAAATTTCCTTTTCAGTTTATATTTTAGTGCAAAAATAACTAATTCGGATCATTTAAAACTTTAGATTCCATATCAAAATATTTCACCAAATGAGAATTACTCTTCCTACACTGAGAAGCTTTTTGAGATAAAGGCACTAATTTACTTAAGATGTATATTTGAATGACTAGAGTGTTCTTACATTTTCACACTTCTTACAGGAATCAATTTATAGTTTTTGCTTCCTTTTTGGAAACATTTCCCAGAGAGATTACATGCTTATATACAGCAAGAAACTCTAAAAGTAGGCAATATTTCAATAACCAATGTAATGTATGGTCCCTTATGAATAGTAGGAGCTTAATATATTTCCCTTCTGCCATCACTTTTTTGCACTTATGGGCTAAATCCAGCATTTAAAAGTTATTTGACAGTACGAATCTCCAGGAAAGAACAGAGGCAGGTTTTAATTCAAGTAGCAGCTACGGAGTGATTCGCTGGGGTGACAATCGTTTTGATCAAGGGAAGCATTTATCTTAATAGAAAGTCATCCTTACAGTTCTCTTCCATTTCCAGACATCTTGAATCCACCGAAGGGGCACTGGGCAGATACCACGCTATAGCAATTCACCCTGAGAAAAAAAGAAGTATATTATAGATCATATTTAACCTAGGAAATAACTCCTGAATTTGGAATTTTAACAACCTTAACAACCCTGTTGATTTCAATATAACATACTCATTGTTATTATTTTTTTTTTAAAGCAGTACTATAAATTAGAATGTGGAAGTGTGTGTATATGTACTGCCTAGAAAGAAACAGAATGGTATAGCTCTGTGTGTGGATAGTCATTTTGGTAGTACATTGTGTCCCTGAGAAGTTGTAGTCTGAAATATAAAAGGTAGTATAACCAACATGCCATAGGAGAAAGGATATGGTTTGCCAGAGAACTGGAGTTTGTTGGGTGGGTGTTCTTTACTGCTTTTATAAGCCTTGTAATTCTCTCGAGGATTGTGTACGTAACAAGCTAAAATCAATCATCTCTTGCAATTGTAATATGTATCACATTACTCAGTTCACTTTTTCCATTAATTGGTTTAATAAATTACTTACACAGGACTTAGCAGGAGTTGGATTTCACTATTAGTTTATCCCTTGCCATATTTCATAAAATGTTTAAAGATGTTCTATGAACAAATATAATTACAAAAACATGAGTAATTAGAATTAAAGGAAAAATTATGATAAAAGGTCAAGACAAGGAGGAAAATTTAGAATACAGTTTTGCAGGGCATGAGAAATTTGTTTAGCTTTCAGTCTCCTGGTGGCCAAGGTGAATAGCAAAATTTAATTACCTGTATGATTCTCATTATGTGTAAGGAGAAAAAATATTATTTGAAGGAGAAACAATGTTCTTTTAAAATATTTCCTCTCCCTTGATATTGCTACAATAGGAGAACAACACTGTGACTTCTAGATACATTGTATTATGCATGGAAGTTGGATTATGAATTTGATCCTGAGATAATATTCGGACATTTCCTCAGTGAAAGCATTTACTATCCAAATTCCCAGAGCTCCATGTTCTCATTGGACCACAGTTTCTTATCCAAGTCTGTCCTTCTGGAGCATAGTTCCTTAAATAAATGTATGCTTTCAAAAGACAAATTGTCTAGGTTTGTTTAATTGTTCTTCTACTACAAAACCAGATCCCTACTCTGAAATGATGGGTAAAATCCCAACAACCCTGGGATTCAATAATTATCCTGAAAACACCAAGTGGAAACTATGTCTGGGACAATACCAGAAATAGAATTATGTTCTAGAATAAATAGCAATAAGTATATGCCTCTGTTTTAACAGCAGAGGAATTCCAGACTGGGGATTTCTACGTCACTGGGCAGAATGATGTCATATGCTAGGTCCAATCCAACAGGCATAGAACATTCCAAAGTAAAAAACCTGAAACTTGTCTTTTTATGTTAAAATGTGCAGAAAATGAGTTTGCTCTTTTGACCCTATCCTGGAAATGAAAATATTTTCGTTTAAGTAAATGGAGAACTAAGAAATATTCAGTTAGAGAAAACTATTAATTTCAAAATAATCAGCCTTGCCAATTGATTCTCCTTCCACAGCCTTCTCTTGTTATAAAGAAGGGAGGTTCCAAGCCCATGAGCCCTGGCTTTGCCCCCTTAGTACCCAGGTGATACTGAGAAAGGTATCTGGCCTCTCTAAACATATATTTTCTCCTCTGTACAATGGAAGTGATAATATTTAACCAGGTTATTTCAAGGCATAAGTAAGGTGATGTATAGCAGGTACTTTTTTTTTTTTTTTAATAGAATGTCCTTATAGGGGCTTCTTACAGTGGCTTATAGTCAACTAAAATTGACAAAACTTCTTATATAGTGGAAGTTTTTAGTAACTGGAGATAATATACATACATGTAATAGTAATGCTGAATCTTATTAATTTTATCAGAGGAAAATTGCACTTTAATCCCTAGCCCTACTGATTATTTAAGAAGAATTTGCTTGATTTTAAGTCTTGGAAAGAAAACATCCCACTATAGAAAGAATCAGGCTTTCGAGCAGTTTCTCTGCCCTGGTTGCACAAAGAATCACATGGGAGCTTTGAAAAATACTCTTTAAATAAAAACCTTTATATTAAAGTCCACATTCAATCACAGAGATTGATATAATTGATGGATTTGATGGTCACCACCCTATGCCAAATCAGTTTATTATTATTTTTAAAGCTCCCCAGATGACGGTAATGCACAGCCAGGGTTGAGAATCACTACTTTCGAGTCCGAAGTAGGTCTGCGTCTCAGCAGCCATTTACTGTGTGAGCTTTGATCAGTGACTTGACTTCACTAAACTTTAGTTTTTTCATCGATAACTTTGACATAACAATTACACTGTTGTTATAAGGTGAAATGAGATAATGAACATAAGGAACAGAGAACAGTGCCTAGCACAGAGTATACTGACTAAATGGTGCCTCTCTCTTTGACTGGGAAAAAAGATTCCAGAGCTACACAGTGGGGCAAGGACTGCTTGGCTGTCCCTTTTAAGGATAAATAGTTTTCAGCCCCCTTGCACAGTAATGCAGGGTTGGGAAAGAAACAGTGGGCTGCTTTTCCTTAAAATTGTGAAGCCTCAGGGCTGGCTCAGTTGGCGGAGCATATGACTCTAGATCTCAGGGTTGTGAGCTCAAGCCCCATGTTGGGCATAGAGATCACTTAAAAATAAAAATAAATAAATAAAAGGATAAATACTTTTCATTGTCTAATGGATTTTTAACTGGAGTAGGTGTGACTGATTATCTGGAAGGAAAATCATCTTTAAATATTGACATGGACTGAGGGGAAAAAGTGAGTTTCGATGGGGTAAAAATTACCAATCAAGCAGTCCAGACATGGGGGCTGGGCAGAGGTGCAACAGTTTGAGAGGCATGGCCTTAAAGTATAAAAATCAAGAGATATAAATGAAGGTACAATATAAATCAGATATAAAGCATGTATAAATCTGGTTAAAAATGAACAGACATGTTTCTCAAAACTACTATGTTCTTCCTAATTAAGACCTTCAGACATCTCTAATAAACCCAGAATAAGAAATGGATATAAGAAATATACGTTTGCAGACATAAGAGCATCAAGTAAATATTGTCCTACTATATAACTGATTAAAGCAGAAGTTCATCTCCTATACAAGTGCCAAGTACCTAAAGATTATTTAGTCAACACTTATATTAGCCAAACATTAAAATATTTGGGGTAAGCAATTTAGGGGCTAGATAAAGAGAAAATACCCTTCTAAAGTTCCAATACAGTAGGGTTTTTGTTTTTGTTTTGCTTTGTTTTGTTGTTGTTTTTTGTTTGTTTGTTTTGTTTCGGCTTCGGTTTTAAGGCAGTAACTGCTTGTCCAGCAGGCCATGTGATTCCAAATGAAAAAAATCAAAGTCTGAAAAAATTCAAAGTGTGGTGTGGTCCAAGACAGTAGCATAGGTTTATCCTGAACTAACCCTTCCCCATGAATGCATACATAAACAATCTGACTTTACACCTAAAGAAACTAGAAAATGAAGGAAGAATGAAGCTTAAAGTTAATAGAAGGAAGGAAATAAGAAAGGTCACAGTGGAATAGAGAATGGAGAGACAGTAGAAAAGATCCATAAAACTAAGAGCATGTTCTTTAAAAATATAAACAAAATTGACAAACCTTTAGCTAGACTTACCAAGAACAAAAGAGAGGGTTTAAATAAATAAATCAGAAATGAAAGAGAAGTTATAACCAGTACCACAAAATTAGAAAAGATCGTAAGAGAATACCATGAATAATAAATTGGACAACTTAGAAGAAATGATTAAATTCTAAAAAAAGTGAGAGTTTTCAGGACTGAATCACGAAGAAATAGAAAATCTAAATAGACCAATTACTAATAGGAAATTGTATTAGTAATCAAAAAATTCCCCAAAAAACAAATTTCAGGACCAAATGGATTTATTGGTGAATTCTACAAAACATTCAAAGATTTACTACCTATCCTTCTCAAACTTCCAAAAATTTAAAGACAAAACTCATTTTATGAGGCCAGCATCACCCTGATACCAAAAACAGACAAGGACATGAAAATAAAAGAAAATTATAGGCCAATATCCTTGATGAACATAGATGCAAAATCTCCAACAAAATATTAGCAAACCAAATTCAGTGATACATTAGAAGAGTCATACATCATGATCAAGTGGGATTTATTCCAGGGATGCAAGGATAATTCAACATCTGCAAATCAATCATCATGATCCACCACATTAACAAAATGAAAGTTAAAAATCATATGATAAGCTCAACAGATGCAGAAAAAAATTTGTCAAAATTCAACATCCATTAACGATAAAAATTCTCAAAAAATGGGGATATGGGGAATATAGCTTAACGTAATAAAAGCCATGTATGACAAGCCCACAGCTAACATCATGGTGAAAAGCTGAAAGTTTTTCCTTTAAGATCAGGAACAAGACAAGCATGGCCACTCTCATCATTTTTATTCAACATAATATTGGAAGTCCTAGCCAGAGCAATTAGGCACGAAAAGGAAATAAAACTATCCAAATAGGAAAAGGAGAAATAAAACTGTCACTATATGGAACAGAATAGAGAACTCAAAAATAAACCCATACATATATGGTAATTGGTTTATGACAATAGAGGCAAAAATAGACAATGCGGAAAGGACAGTCTCTTCAATCAGTGGTGCTGGGAAAACTGGACAGCCACATGCAAAATACTGAAACTAGGTCACTTTTGTACACCATACACAAAAATAACTCAAAATAGACTTCAACTTAAGACTTGAAACTGTAAAACTCTTAGAAAAAAACATAGGCAATAAGCTACTTGACGTCCATCTTGGCAATAAATTTTTGAATCTAACCCTAAATGCAAAGGCAACAAAAGCAAAAATAAACAAGTGGGGACTACATCAAACTAAAAACTTCTGCACAGCAAAGGAAACCATTACCAAAATGAAAATACAATCTATACCGAATGGGAGAAATTATTTTCAAATCATATATCCGATAAGAGATTAACCTCCAAAATACATAAAGAACTCATACAACAGTCAATCAAAAAACAAACAGTCCAATAAAAAAATGGGCAGAGGATCTACATTAGACATTTTTCCAAAGAAGATATGCAGATGGCCAACAGGCCCATGAAAAGATGCTCAACATCACTCATTATCAGGGAAATGCAAATCAAAACCACTTGAGATATTACCTCACTCTTGTCAGAATGACTAGTTTCAAAAGGATAAGAAATAACAGTGTTGGCAAGGACACGGAGAAAAGGGAACTCTCTTGTGCTGTTGGTAGATATGGGCAGCCACTATGGAAAACAATATGGAGGCCCCCTCAAAAGATTAAAAATAGAACTATCATATGATCCAGCAATTCTACTCCTGGGTATTTATCCAAAGGAAATAAAAATACCAGTTTAAAAAGATATATGCACCCTATGTTCATTGCAACATTATTTGCAATAGCCAAGATATGGAAACAACCTAAGTGTCCAGGAAGAGATGAAAGGATAAAGAAGATGTGATAGATGTGTACAATGGAATATTACTTAGCCATGAAAAAAGAAGGAAATCCTTGCCATTGGTGACAACGTGGATGGACCTTGAAGGTATTATGCTAAGTAAAAGAAGTCAGAGAAAAACAGATATTGTATGATTTCACTTATGTGTGGAATCCAAAAAACAAAACAAACAAAACGTATAGACACAAAGAACAGACTGGTGGTTGTCAAAGGGGTAGGATGTTGGGAGTGGGAGATACATGTGAAGGGGGTCAAGAGGCGCGAACTTCCAGGTATAAAATAAATAAGTCATGGGGGTATAATGTACAGCATAGCAACTACAGTACATAATTGTGTATTACATATTTGATAGTTGCCAAGACAGTAAATCTTAAAAGTTCTCATCACAAGAAAAAAAATTTAATTTTGGAGAGTGACTGATGATAACCAGACTTATTGTAGTGATCACTTTGCAGTGTATACAAATATCAAATTATTGTATCGTACACCTGAAAATAATACAATTGTAATACCTCAAAAATAAATAGGTAAATAAAGAAAGAACAAAGTTCAAAGTAACATGTTAATGTGATCAACACTGAAAAGACGATATGTAGATTTGACTTACCATACTGTCCCAGCCTGCAGAGCGGAGGAGACTGTTATGGCTTTATCAATATCTTTGGTAAAGATTCCTGCTGATAAGCCATAAAGAGTATTATTTGCTCTCTTGATCACGTCATCTAAAGATTTAAATTTCATGATTTGCTGCACTGGTCCAAATATCTATACCATAAAAAATGAATGAAATAAATCAAAGTAACAGGTTAAAACTAAATATCTTAAAAGGTATTGTAGTTTTATTCCCCTACAAACTATCATAAGCTAAGATTTTACTTTGCATCTCAAAGTGTAAGAATCAAAACGGTAGCTGCTGGAATGGGAGGTTAAGATAGGCAATGGTCATGTGTTAAATTCCCTTTGGAACAAAATGGGGGTAGAAATAAATAAGGTAATATTAATTTTCTTGTTGTTGGAATTAGACTTCCAAGAACTTACCATTGTGTATAAAATCATTAACTTCAGAGTTTCTTTTACATTTAGGAATATTTTATATTCTCTCCCTAGTTTTCCACATCAAGTCACTACATAAACAGCAAACTCAAGAAAGTAATGCTTGCTCTACTGGATAAATGAATAAGTAATAATTGTTAATAATTATTTTGTTTTAAATATCAGTGTATCATCAACTGAAATATCACCTATTCTACTGGACTTAGATCTTTTTATAATCAGCCAAATTAGGTGAAACAACATGAATTTTTGGATTCTGTTCTTCAGCCAAATCTTAAGCGACTTACATGTACCAAGCAAAATGATACATTACTGTAAGAGCTTAAATCCTCAACCACTAACTAAAGCATGGGTTCATTAATAATGACTATAATCATAGGATGGGAAACAAACTCCCAATTTGCTCATTCAAACCTTAATTGCTCTTTCACTTTTGCTAGATTCTCTAGTTAGCTCAGCCCAAAGTCAACTTATTCTGTATCTCATCCCCAGATGGGCGAAAAACAAGTGGGTTTTCTCTTAAAAATTAAGCTCCTGTATTATGTTTCTGTAAAACATATATTAAAATTAAACAAAGAGGAGTCCTTCTGAGTGTCAATAAAATTTTCTGAGAAATGTAAGCTAGTGGGAGGCAAAAATCAGAAAAGATAGTTTTCTGGTGTTCATTATGGACGTAAGTATTGGAGTTGGGGGTTATCATTCCACAAAGGCTGAGTATAAATCCTAAGACTGTAAATCTAATTATTGTATTGTAACCTGGGAACCAGATATATTGCAGCTATGGTAATAAGTGTGTTAATATCTTACCTAATTTTAACTGAACAAAGCACATGTTTCAAGGCTTTTTTGAAGCAGCAAACAAGCTACTCTACTATGTACATTACAGGAACACGGTAAATGTTTCCTTGATTGAATGTATTTTTTTGCCTTTATCTTTTCCCATGGTATGCAAGAATAGCAGATCCAATAAGACAAATATTTGTCAATACATGCAAAATTTACACGCAAATAGCTGCAAAAAAAATCAGTTGACAGCTGAATTGGTGTTGAGAAACTATGTCTGATTATCCATATGTATCTTTTGTTTTATTTTTCCTATTTATTTACTGCTTGCAAATTTGATTATGCACTTTCCCCCTTGCTTGATGGCATTTTGGGAGGTAAAGAAAATAACCCTTTTGGATTCTCTATCATATCATAAACATGAAATACAAATTCACTGGATGAAAGATTATGATTCAGTACATTTGAATTGGCAGTGCCTTCTTGTTATAGTTTATTATGGGACACCTTCATAGCCCAAAGCCAGTGAATCTATCTCTGTATTTATTAAAACCCCTCTGTCCAGGGCACCTGGGTGGCTCAGTCAGTTAAGCATCTGACTCTTGATTTCAGTTCAGGTCATGATCTCAGGGTCATGAGATTGAGCCCCGCGTCAAGCTCCACACTAATTGCGGAGTCTGTCTGAATTCTCTCCCTCTCCCTCTATCCCCCCCTCTGCTCATGGTCTCTCTAAAATCAATCAATAAATAAAATCTTAAAAAAAATAAAACCCCTCTGTCTATGAGGTAGATTATTTATAATTCCTAAATGCAAACTAGCCTTTCCTAGTTATATGGTTATATATCATGTCTCTGGATAACATCTTCTTAATGTTAATTAGTTTGTGCTCACCAAATATTGAACTGCAATATATTTGTCTAGGAAAATTAGGAAGTGCAAGAGCTGAAAACAGGGCTAAGAGCATATGGAGGGTGAGGAGCCATGTAGGGGATGGATGTTATTTTCAAATATATGGATGGCTCTTATGCGGAAAAGGGCATAGTGCAGATATGGGGCCAACAAGCAGAACTTAAGAGGAGGGATTCATATGCAGCTAGAGGGAACTTTCTAGTGCTTAGCACTGTCCAGACATGGAAAAGCCTAAGAAATAATGAGTTACCTGTTGATGATGCTGTTTAAAGAGACACTGGCTGGCCACTGGCCAGGAGCAAACCAATGATCGTAGTGGGATTGGAAAGGTGAGCTTAAGAGATCCTTCTAGTTTTATGAGGCTATAATTCTGTAACAGTAACAAGTCACTTAAGCTCTTTGGATCTCAATTACCGCATCTATAAATTTGACTTTTGGCCTGAGTTATCCATAATCTTCCTTCTAACATTAACACACTATCACTTTTTAACAGAATGGTTCCCACAAGCTCCATGGGATTCTACACTGTTAGGTTAGGTAGGATTGGGTGGATAATGAAGTCAATATGAGCAACAGTAGGTCACATAGAAAGAGTGGGGAACTGTGGTCATGAGAATTAGACTATACCACCAAGCTGCCTTTAGCTAGCCATGTGACCTAGCTCTTTCCTATTTTGGGCCTTAGGTTTTTTATCTACTACTTAGGATGATAACAAGAATCATAAATCATAGTTGATTATGTGGCTCAAAGGAGAACTCAAGATAAAAAAGGCATAAAGATAAAAAAGTTTCAAAAAAGTTTGACATGTTATATTCACAGGGGTAATAAAATATATATAACAGGTAGGAACTGAAAACAACTACCATGTCATTCTTCAGGAAAATTCTTGGATCAGAATACTATGTTTAATTTTATTTAGTTTCCAATCATTATAATGTAACATAGGAATCATACGCCTTATAAATGTTCTGAGATTTTTTATTAGAAAAATAATACTAGGGCGCCTACGTGGCTCAGTTGGTTAAGCGACTGCCTTCGGCTCAGGTCATGATCCTGGTGTCCCAGGATCAAGTTCTACATCGGGCTCCCTGCTCAGCGGGGAGTCTGCTTCTCCCTCTGACCCTCCCCCCTCTCATGTTCTCTCTCTCTAATAAATAAATAAATAAAATCTTTAGAAAACTAATACCAGTCTAAATAGGTGAAAATAATAAAAGAGAGTATTTATCTCTGGGAAGAAAAGACTACAGGCTTTCTTCTTGTATTGGAGAGATTCTATGAGAAGAAAAGAATATAATGATACTTCTCTCAAGAGGTTGTGAGAATTAAATAAGAATATTTCATGTTTATATTAAATATTTTATTTCTTTATATAAATATATTTATATACATATATAATATACACTAAACTTTATAAAAATGAATAGGAATGTCAGAAATATAAATCTTTACATAAATAAAACATTTATATTCATTGTATTTCATAGGAATATATTTATGTTTTACACTGTTTATAAGGCACTTAGATCTATATCTGGCACATAGTGAGCAATCACTAAATGGTTCTTATTATTAATAAAGGGGCGCCTGGGTGGCTCAAATGGTTGAGCGTCTGCCTTTGGCTCGGGTCATGATCCCAGAGTCCTGGGATCGAGTCCCGCAGGGAGCCCGCTTCTCCCTCTGCTTCTCTCTCTCTCTCTCTCTGTCTCTCATGAATAAATAGATAAAATCTTAAAAAAAATAAATGTCTGCAGCTCTTTAAGCAACATTAGAAATTAGAAAGAGGACCTAACTATAGCTATAGGAGATAATTTAATTACCACACACACACACACACACACAAACAACCAAACAAAACTACAGACCAATATCCCTCAAACTATAGGCCAATATCAAACTATAGACCAATATTAACTACAGCAAATATTCCTAAAAAGTATTAGCAAATAGTATTCAGCAATACCTACAAAGAGTTATACACCATCACCAAGTGAGAATCATTCCAGAGATATAAGGCTGGTTCAGTATTCAAAAATCAATTAATACAAGACACCGCACTGAGGGAATGAAGAAAAAATACCATGTAATCGTTTAAGTTGATGCAGATAAAGCATTTGACAAAATCCATCCTCCTTTTCCTCTCAACAAGTTCGGAATAGAAAGCCACTTCCAGAACCTGATTAAGGGCATTTATGAAAATCTCACAGCTAATATCATACTCAGTGGCAAAGACTGAATGCTTTTCCCCTATGATAGAGAACAAAGCAAAGATGCTCACTCTTGCTACTCTCATTCAACATAGTGCAAAATTCTAGCAAATGAAAAAGGCAAAAAAAGGAAATAAAAAGCATACAGATGAGAAGAGAAGGAATACAGTTGTTCCTATTTGTAATGACACAATTGTCTACCTACAAATTCTCAAGGAATCTCCAAAAACCTCCTAGAATCTCTAAGTTTGGCGACATCAAGAAAATATACAAAATCAGTTATAACTATTTATACCAGCAATAAGCATATGCATACAAAAATTAAAGATTCCACTTACAATAGCTCAAAAAATACTTAGTCATAAATTCAGTAAAACATGTTTAGGACTCATATACTGAAAACTATAAAATCCTGATGAAAGAAATCAAGGAAGGTATAAATAAAGAGACAAACCATGTTCAATGACTGGTAGATTCCATACAATAAGGATGTTAATTCTCACCAAATTGATAGACACATTTAACACAATTCCTTTGAAAATTCCAGCAAGATTTTTAAAAATATATATGGACAAGGTTATTCTAAAATTTATATGGAAAAGCAAAGGAACGAGGTTAGCTAAAACAATTTTGAAGAAGAATGAAGTGAGAGGATTCAATCTTCCCAATTTCAAGAGTACTGCTCTGCAATAAGAAGGAACAAACTATCCTGAGATACAACAACCTAGATGAATCTGTAGAAAATTAAGCTGAGTGGAAAAAAAAAAATCCAATCCCGAAGGGTTGCATGGAGTATGAATCCACTTATGTAAAATTCTTGAAATGACAAAATTATAGAAATGGAAAACAGATTAGTGGTTAAGGGAAAGCCTGGGGTTAAGGATAGCAGTTTATGGGAGGGCCATGGATTTGGCTATTCAAGAAACATGAGGGATTCATATGCTGATGAAATGTTCTGTGTTTTGTCTGTTTCAATGTCAACATACTTGCTGTGATATTATACTATAGTTTTGTGAGATGTTGCCATTTGTAGGAAACTGGGTAAAAAGCAAAGGGATCAGTCGGCATTATTTCTCATAACAACAGTTGAATCTACAATTATCACAAAATAAGTTTAACTGAAAAAAAATCTTGCATATCATGTAATCATTTTCCAATTATCTTTGAATATATTATTTCCAGAGGAGAAAAAGCAACAACGAAATGAAGTTTTCTTTTCCATTACTTTAAAGCTGTGGAAGAAACCCCTAGAAACTGTTAAGCATCCTGATCTGTCTTTGGCTGGAAATTCTTGGCTGGCCTCATGACTTCCTTACTATTTTTAGTCTTGATTACAAATAGACATTTATCAGTAACAGAAATGAAAAGTAACATTCACCAAGAAAGATGTCAAAAGAACAGAGAAGTTTATTTTATAAAGATTTATTTATTTATTTATTTTAGAGAGAGTGTGTGTGTGAGCTGAGAAGGGAGGCAGAGGGGGAGGGAGAGGGACAAGCAGACTCCACGCTGAGTGTGGAGCCCGTCGCGGGGTTCGATATCATGACCCTGAGATCATGACCTGAGCCAAAACCAAGAGTGGGATGCTCCACCAACTGAGCCACCCAGACTCCCCAAGAACTGAGAATTTTAAAGGGAGGCTTTGTACACACACATACAGAACATATGGCAGCAAAGGGAACAGAGCAGAATGAAAGTATTTACCTCCTCTTTGGCGATGCGCATGTCGTCTGTAACATTAGAGAAGACCGTGGGCTGGATGAAGTAGCCTTTATTCCCCCATGGGCCTCCACCACACTCCAGTTTGGCTCCTTCTTTCTTCCCACTCTCAATGAGGTCAAGTATTTTTTCATATTGTTCCTTATCAATCTGTAGGAAAAATATCACATGGAAAGGAAAATAAATGAATACATTAAGTAAGTTTATAAGGGTAATATATTGCCCAGCCTGGTAAGGAGGGCTTCAAAATGCTAGAGTATTGTTACTGAGTGAAATCTTCCATCAAAACAGCTGACGGAGGCTGAGATTCATTCTGTGTTTATTCTCCTGACTTTTCTAGAAAGAACACTTACAGATAAATATTTGTATTCAGCATTTGCTTTACTGTTACAGAAGCAAAGCACATCAGCCCTGCAAACAAATCTAAACGTTTTCACACTACTGTCATCTATTTTCACTGGAAAAAAAAATGCCTGTTAACAGTCAAACATACTTGAAAACTATAGTCCTAACTGAAATAAAGAGGAAAGGAGAAGAGAACTTTGATGCTGGGTTTAATTAAATATGGCAGTTGGAAAGCAGATGCTTTAGGGCTTTGAAGACCCCTAGACTTCTGTTTTCTCCTCATTCCTGACAACCTCCTCTGGCCGGATCCACGCTGACCACAGCCTGGGCACCCTCCCATCCTGTCCGCGTGGGGCAGTCTCAGTAGGTCGATCCCAGTTTCTAGCCTGTCCTGATTATTAGCATCCTGCTTCATCGCAGAGACTACCTCTAAAAACATGACAAGAATGACAGAGCCTGAATGGTTTGTTAAGCAATATTTTTTATAAGGAAAACAAAAACAAAAACGAACCTAACTCCAGAGTTCGGGCTGGGATACCCAGAGCACACATTTTCCCTCCATGCACTGGAACTGGGGTTATGTATTGTCTCAATTGTCTCAATTTTGGGAGGCTGAAAAACTTAGTGATTTTTGGACTCCAAATCACTGGTCAAGACTGCCCTGTCTCAGGTGTGGCCAGGGTTAAGTTTCAAAGGAAAAAGATTGAAGATCCAGGAGTTAAGGTGAAGGGCCTCTTGCCAGTTCAGCCTGTTTTCTCACTACTTAAAAAGTATTGCTCTTTATCTTCTTCTTTGACTCTGCAATCTCCCTCATCTTCCAAATCCCAGAAAAAGGTCACAAACTAACTGCACACAGCCCAGCTCCCATATCCAATGAGATTAAGTGCTATTTGAAACCAGAAACCGTTTTCTAAAATTTGGCACAATATTTGGTACAATGTTGCTCAGTCCTCCTTTGGGCATGATATTTAAATGAATATTTCAAAGGAAAATGTTCCTTCATTTCCAGCAGATCAAGGAAGTTGTAATGTTGGTTTAATAACAGTTGGTTTGATATTTAAATTGCTGCCCAGTATTTACTACAGCCAGACTAAGGGGTGGTGTTAGTTCTGTCTGGTTAAAATATTCAGGTTTGCCAGCAACTAGCCAAGGATCCATGTAACTCCATGCAAAGCTTCTCTGGCCTCTTCCAAAATGTTAATCTCACTATGGCCTCAAAAAATCATGATTTTGGAGGGTTTCATTTTAAGATGTATCCCCTAAGTCGTAACTTCCCCGCCTGTGACCACAGTGGACATTTGGGGACAGTCCTAGTCTTGCTTATGCACTGGGAGGTAAAGGCAGAAAGAATTTGTTTGACTTAGATGGTCAATAACCATCTAAGAATACACGAATTCACAGAGTAGGGTCTGGCTACTGACAATGTGGTTCTCTAGCCAGCCACTCTAGCGTTCCTAGGTGGCAAAATGCATTTCTTAGGCCTCACCCGAGACCTACTGCATCAGAATTTGCATTTTTAATGAGATTCTCAGGTGATTCAAATGCACAGGAAAGACTGAGAGCCTTGCACCAGAGTTCAGGCCTAGTGATGGAAGTTTTCAGTTATACCCAGGGACATAGTCAGTGTAGTCTGGCTAATTTTGCTTCACCATAAATACAAATCTTCCTCGGAAGGTTTCAGATTGGCCATATCTGAATTTGGCTTTCCTTTTGGCCCTCGGGAACTTCTCAATAAGGCTAGGATATAGCAGGGGCTCTTTACTGTGTGATGGGCCATTAGCTCATGGGCTAGTCTATGAGATGTAATAGGGCATGGCATTGTAAGAGTCTCAACGTATACATTTTGATGTGCTTGAATGTGCAAATTATTTAATTCCTTAGGGTTGATGGGTTGAGAAAGAAAGTTTGAGAAATGACGCCGAGACATCCTTCAAAATATTTGGAGACCAAAGATCAACAAGAGCAATGAGAGCGGATATATGAAGTTATTGATCTGTGATAGTAATTGTCACCATGGGTATAAATGGAAGCATGCAATTTTCATTTACTCAACAGACATTTGAGCACGTACTGTGAACCAGGCACTCAGATGCTTTGTATAGATTATTGCATTTCACTGTGCACTGACCCTGCAAGATTGGTGTTACTACTTCCCTTTTACAGATGAAAAAACAGAGCCTCAGGGAAGTTAGATTTTAAATCCAGCCTCTATTTTGAAAGTCCATGTCTCTGCATTAGGACAAGTTGCAACTTCTGATAATGTTATAACCTTTGATGTGGGTTATGAAATCAAATTGGAAAGTCACTTTACCAGTGAAAAAATATAAAATATAATGTGATTAAGATAAAACAACATATTACTTCATTTACCAGCTGAGTTATTTGAGGGCTTTTAGGTTTTAATATTTGGCATTGCCTAAATCCTAAGGTTTTCCTACTTGGCTATCTTGGCATGCGCAGAAAAACCCAAGATAGCCTTTTAACTCTTCCAGACTGTAAACTCCATGAGGTCAGGTAGCATGTTCCTCCTGTTCCTTTGGGCATTGTCAGGTACTTATCCCAGGGTTTAGCTTTCTTTAAATTGGGAGTTAGATTCATTGCTTTTTTCTTTTTTTTTTGAAACACCAAACTGATCCAGTATTGTCACCTAGGAAGATCCGTGGTAAGGAAACAATCTTATTCAATAAAAAGCAAACCTAGAGAGGACACTTTATTCTTGTCCCCTGTGAATGCTATTCCTTCTTTTGTATACTCACTTGAGGGCCTTGATTGACTCCTGGGGTCAGAGGATTTCCAAGGACATACTTCTTAGCCCGTTCAACACTCTGTCGGACAAACTCATCATAAATCGATTCTTCCACAAAAAGCCTGGATGCAGCTATACAACATTGGCCTTGGTGGTAGAATAACCCCTGGTGTGCAAATTCAACGGCATTGTCCACTGCAAAGAAGATACTCACGTTGAAGAAGAGATTTTTTTTAAAGATTACATATTTGTATACATCTCTCTCAGAGGCAATAGGATGCTATAGAAAAATTATGAGTTGCACAGTCAGATATAGATTCAATACACCCCACCCCTTATCAGCCAGGTGACAAATTAACCTTTCTAATCCTTTATTTAATATGGAAATGATAGCCACAAATATAGAATCTGAAAAAATTAATATAGACACTACCAAGAATATAGAAAGTGTCGTAAGATCCTATCCCACTGCAAATGATTTTTTTTTAGATATTTTTATTTTAGAGAGAGAGAGAGCGCATGCACGTGGGGGGAGGGGCAGAGGGAAAGAATCTCAAGCAGACTCCCTGCTGAGCATGGAGACTGACCTGGGGCTTGATACCAGGACCCTGAGATCATGACCTGAGGTGAAACCAAGAGTGGACGCTTAACTGACTGAACCACCCACGTGCCGCTACACATGATTTTTATAAAACATCTCTGTTTATAATTAGTTAGATGACTGAATATCTCAGGCTTCAGATTTTAACTAAATGACAAAGAAAACATGAACTATCCATTTTTTTTCCACTTTTAAAAAGGTGAATTTTATGGTATCTAAACTGTTTTTCAATCAAGGTGTTACAAAACAAAACAAAAAAGGTTAGAAAAGTTTATTTCCATCCCTAGGTTGTGGTCTCTCTGAGGACAGGAAAGAAATATTGTTAATCTGGGTTATTCCAAAGGCTAGTACAGTGCCAGGATAGTATTTCATATTCCCATTTCTTTCTTTCTCTTTTTCTTTCTTTCTTTCTTTCTTTCTTTTTTCTTTTTTTCTTTCTTTTCTTTCTCTCTTTCTTTCATTTGATGTAGTGTTCCATGATTCATTAGAAAACATGAACTATCTATTGCATTAAATAATTTAAAATTTTTTTAGACACCCTGATCAATAGGAAAAATGATATTTCTGAAAAAAAATTAATATTCAAAATCACTCACCTACCTTGACAGCCCTGTTCCAGGAAAAACATTTTCCAACTTTATTTAAAATATGCCATATTATTTCATATATGCTTATAAACTCTTCTTATCTATGTATTTGAGATGGTAGAACGGGGCTTGAAAGGGAAAAATAGGTTGTCATCACTAAATCCTAAACAACCTGAGGTTTTCTCTGCATTTTAATTTTTTAAATGGTGAAGATTTAATTCAACATTATAGCAATGGAGTATTGTGATATTTACTTTGTGAACTAACCACATCTATTTAAGTTGTAGTGGAAACAGTTTCTAGAGAGGTTTGGTAAAAATCAGGACTCTTATCATATTTGTGGAATATATAATAAGGCAGTGTGCTCTGAAAAGCTTCAGCTAAGATCACACTCAGCCATTTCTGTTTATTACCTCATACTGCAGCTGTCAAAGAAAGAGCTAGATGAATGCTTGACAATCCATTTCTGCTGACTGACTCCCACTTAGAATATAATTGTGGGATTCTACTCGATAATACAATCAGAATGAACCAGGGATATTGTATAGGGGAGTCACATCATAATTATAGATGGAATATATGTAAATTTGACCACACGAGCTAGGGAAAAAAAAAAGAGAAATTCCTTAAATGCTAAGTGTTATTCTCTTCTGACCCTTTCATTCAATGTGTGTGTGACCCAGAGTGAAGGGAAATGACAAATGTGAAATTTGCCATCTCTCTAGTTGGTCCCAGTCCAACATAACTGGAGGTATGTCACCATACCTAACCCAATGCTAATATTTACAGGCATGGAATTTAAAAAACAAAAAAATACACCATGGCTCCCGAGTGCAAGACAGTTAGTCGCCTAGAGTCCAGCTGCGAAAATGGCAATCTATTCCACTCCAGGAAGAAAGAGTGTCTGCATTAGATTCGTCTAGGTGTGACACATTAGAACATTTTGAGAGATTTTTCAAGAGTCATTCTAGGTTCTGGTTAGTGCCTTACATTTTGATGTTAGAAGCAAACCCTTTTATAAACTTCAAGGTCACCGTCCGGCATTGCCAGACACCACGATGAGGGATGAAAAGTTAAGAGTGGCCCTCACTCACAGTCAGCGTCAGCAAACACAATGCAGGGGCTCTTTCCACCAAGCTCCAGGGTCACCCTCTTCAGGTTGCTTTTCCCCGCAGCTTCTTTGATCATCTTGCCAACCTGGAATGGAGCATTACAGAGGAGGAGGCTGAATCTGCTCTCCTGAAGGCGGGTTTATTTAGCATTTTAAATGTATATAAGGTTTGCGCCATAGTTAAATTCTATCAGGGAGAAACATTAAATTGTTTTTGTCAAGATTTGGCACCTTCAGATATCAAAGGCTCCTCCACCTGAGCATAAACATGATGAATCAGAAAAACACTCCTGAGAACAGATACATAGAAGATGACAGCTGATCTTGACGGACAGAACTGGGCAGGAGGTATTTTTCATTTTAATCAGAACTTCATCTTTCTACGGATGGACTGGACATATCACAATCCAACCATCACTTATCTACTTGACTTTTCATCCCTCTACTGAAATCCAGAGAACTCTATCCAAGCTGGCATATTTACTGCCCCCTAAACCTCATCTCTGCTTCTCATTATATGTCCACCCTGACCCAGGCCGCCCCCAATCCCCCCCTTCTTTGAGGGCGGGCTGATACCTGAACTCTTCTTTGAAGCTTGCTCTGTTGACTCTAGGCAGACATGACTTTTTCTTCCTCTTATTCCCAACCCCCCCACCCCAGAGAACCCTCATGAGGACTGTTTCAGGGTCTCCCTTGGATTGTATTATTTGTAAACACATCAATTTCCCGAACAGATATCACCCCCTTGGTGGCAGTGATAAAGTCTGATCATTGCACACTTCTCAGCACTCTCTGTCACAGTGGGGGTTTGTTGAACTACAGCTGGTTGCCAGCTCTCTCCCTCTCTCCCCCCACCTCCCTCCCTCCGTTCCTCCCCTCCTCTCTCTCCCCACAACTTTGAACTGTGGAGCTAGAAAAAAGAAATTGGATCTGTGCTCTGTGCTGTTGCTTCTGTTAGCTGGAATCCTACTGTTCTGGTTTCTTCTTTAATGCTAGTTGCTGCTCTTCAGAGAAAGACATTGTTTTCATTTTTTCCTTTGTGGCTCCCATCCCAACAAGATTATTTTCTGTAGTTGTTTTATTTTTCCATCTCTAAGACCCGACCTGCTTTATAACTATTTCCTCTTTACTATTTTTATTGAAGTCCTAATGTCCTAAATGATCTTTGCTTTTCTTTTTGAAAGATGATTCATTTTATCTTGCTTCTGGGGTTTTTTCCCCCCTATTTGACACATCAGATTTTAATAAAAAGTTTCTATCCAGCTGAACAAAAGATAAGTAGATGCTTGCTGAGCATACGTTTGAATTTTATGTGCTTATTGAACTGACTGCTACCATGCCTTACAGAGCAGAGCAATAATTAAGCTGCCAATGTTTTTATCTTATTTAAAGATGTCAGGTGCTAAATCAAATCCTTTAATACAGGTTAATAAAAAGAAACTGAGAGTAGACTTGCGGTGGGGAAATCCTATCTGAAATGTTTCTTATATACCATTTTCCTTCCACAATATACTTCTTTTTAAATTGTCATCTACGATGATTAAGAATTTTTTATTTCCTACATTCTTTCCTTTTCCTCCTTTGAATTCTCCAAATTCTTTCTTCATCTTTTTTTTTTTTTTTTCTAACTTTTTAACTTACTGGAGAAACTTTGTTAGATAATTTGTGTCTCAGGGAAGGGAATGACACCAGAGCTATTTTTCTAAAAGCTACAGATGTTGGAAGAACCAGAATGAAGAGTGGCCAGAAGTATGAGTAAGGGAGAAAGGTTACACTTTTGTTTAGTATAAGTTTCGATGGCAAATAAAAGATTTGTTTGAGTTTTCCCAAAGGTCTAGTTAAAGCCAAAACAAGGAAACATCAATTTTGTTCCATGGTTTTGTTCCCTGCACTTGGAAAAAAGTAAAGGTTCATTATTTTTCGTAAAGAGGTCTGCAACGAAGAAAGATAAGAACCTTTGAGCCTATGGTAAGCAATGTTCCACGACGTTGTGTCATTGTCGTGTGAGGCAGAAGTAGCAAGTGAAAATGGTCTAATTTACCACATCCTGCACAATGTGCATTGGATTCTGTTTTTTGTTTTGTTTTGTTCTGTTTTAAATGAATCTAATGGGACATTAAAATTCTTACCTTGCCAGAAGCATTTTTAGAAAGAGGATCATTGCTACCATGACCACAAAAGATATAATCCATGGTTTGCCTCTTTCATGGCACTTGGCAAGTTTCCCACTATCTGCCAAGCAACAAACCTGAAGCTAAAAGAGAGCCCGGAAAGACTGGTTTTTCTGTGTGGTCTCTAAAATCATCTTAGTTACATTTAATTATTTAATACTTACTCAGAAGGAGTTACTATACTAGTTTTTGCAGATAACAGTGACTAAGACAGTCTTTGAGGATGGTCAGCAAAGGAGAGAGATAAATGACAAAGCAATGGGCATGAGCTATCATAATTATAGATCAAGGACAATGGGGAACACACATGTGGGGTGGTTTAAAACTCAGGATGCCCCTGGGACTGCGGAGAAAGCCAAAGAGGTAGCAGGTGGTGGAACATATCATAGTAGGTGTGGCCACGAGTGAGCAAAAGCCTGGAGGAATGAAAACATACATCTGAATACCCTATAGGGTGCTCGATATTTTACTACTCATTAGCTCCTTCAATTGTATTTTGTACAATAAGGTAGATATTATTATTCACATAAAAATGAGAAATACAAATGTAGCAATGATACTTAATGTTTGGAAGACACACCGCTTAAAGGGGTAGAGTCAAAATTTGAACCCAGATGTTTCCCAGTCTTTTAATCTCAGAGTTTTTTTCTATTTTTGGCAGGTAAAGTGCCCCAAAGCGCCCAGGGATGGGCCAAGACAAATAGGCAGTGATTCTAGAGATGGGATCAGATGAGCTGGAGAATGAGTGGGCGTGGGATCTAGAGCAGGAAATGTACGTGGAGGTTTAGAATGCTAGGCTGAGGAATTTGTACCTTCCTGCCTTTACCTCTGCTATGATTTTGATCTGTGACTTCACCTTTTTTTTTTTTAAATTACTGCCATGTCTCATTCCCAGTTGTTTTGTCCACAGAATCCTGAATGCGGGATTTGCTTTCCCCTACCTCAATGAACGGTTTGTAGAATGTAAACCTTTTCTGTTCTGTGTCTATGAAACATAAGAAAGTATTTTTGTATTTATCTAGTTTTTAAAAGATCAAGAAAAATAAAATTTTATTTTCCACCATTTTAGTTCTCTATGTAAATGTTTCTCTATATTGGAGTGGCTAATTTGGAATATAAAATAATCAAATTAGCTTCTCCTCGTTACCTAGAATGTTCTTCTTGCTTCCCAATCTCTGGGGAGTTAAAAAAGTAACCACTCTTCAAAATTCAGAGCAGGTTCTCACACCTTTGTAGACATCATCATTCCTTGCTGTGAATGCCCTTATAGCAGTTTGTACAGTTCTTAGTATCTTATCACACCCTGTCTTGTATCTTATGTGTAACAGCAGCTTTATAAGAAGGGGCTTTCTTCATTCTTCATCCTTTATGTTCGCACTGAACATCTCACAATGTCACATCATCCAACAGGAGGACTCAAAGTGCTTGATACGGTATGATTTTACCACTTTCTTTTTGCTTGCAATAGAAACTCATCTCAATAGATGGGAGTCCATTCTCCCAAATTTCACTTTCCAGGCGGTTCCCTCTTTTTCTCTCTCCTGCCTCTTCTTGCAGTGCCCATGGCTGAGACCCTGCTCTTTAACCTTCTGGAAAGTCAAGCTGGAGCCGGAGGGGCATAAAAATTAAGCTAAGCCAAGGGCGCCTCGGTGGCTCAGTCGTTAAGCATCTGCCTTCGCCTCAGGTCATGATCCCAGGGTCCTGGGATCGAGCCCCGCATCGGGCTCCCTGCTCAGCGAGAAGCCTGCTTCTCCCTCTCCCACTCCCCCTGCTTGTGTTCCCTCTCTGTGTCTCTCTCTGTCAAATAAATAAATAAAATCTTTAAAAAAAAATTAAGCTAAGCCAGCAGTAACACTCAAGAAGCTGAGTCGCTGGCTCCCTTTCAGAATGATCAGAAAAGAGAGAGCCCCAAATAAGGAGCTAAAGGTGATGCTCTGTTCTTCAATTTCCATAATCTACAGGGTACGATTACATTCATTCATACAAATCACTGCGGCCTAATTTAGATTTTCTGTCATAAACCATACTAATCATACGACAGGGTCTCATCAGCTCTATTTCTTGCCAGGGAAAGTAATGAACCCGCTAGAAACACTTTCGTGCAGGCCGAGTGTGTGACAGGTACCCCGCTTCATCTCAACCACATCTGCTTATGTTCTATAAACATGTGCAAAGGCTAGAATAAGGAACAAATCATTAAAAGGAACTTTTGTTTTAGAGAAATGTCGGCCTAAAAACAGTGACACAAAACATGCTTCTGACACCTGGAGATGCAGACCTTCTGCACTACTGGCCCGAGTAATTAATGTTACCTCTGTAGATCCTGTGAAGGCCACTTTGTCTATATCCATGTGGGAAGAAATTGCCGCCCCAGCAGTAGGCCCGTAACCAGGGACAATGTTCACTACTCCGGGAGGGAAACCTGCCTGAGGATCAAAAGTAAAATGGTTATGACAGAACTGAGAATTTAATTCTGTGATAAAAAGGAGAGTCTGGGATCAAAGCCGCCTCTCGATGCTAAGCTTATGAGTTTCTCTACCAAGAAAGATTCATTTAAGTCCTATTATTATTATTATTTCATTTCGTAGCCCACTTAAAATAACCTCCCTAATTACATTACTGGGGAAGTGTTTCTCCTCGGGGGGAGAAGTCCATGTTTGACTTTTCTGGATCATTGCCCCAGTGATGGCTGCCTCAGATTTCATAATAGTAACTCAAAAAGATAGTGTGTGGAAAAGAGCTTGGGAAATTACTCACATAGAAGGAAAACAATGCAATTATTATCCTATCGGCAAAACTAAGAAGCTAAAAGGATCTTGCATTTTCAGTTTCTAGCTATTGATTGTTCAGGGCATACCAGCTGGGTTGCAAATTCCTACTGGCAATATTTAATCAGTAAAACATTAGATAAGAACTATCCTCCCGTGCGTGACTAAGCTTCACAGATTGATTTCATTCCTGGTCAAAGAATGATCAGGGAGAAAACAGTGTGTACCTGAGATGGGCACATTGAAATTTCATGTTATTGGCATCAAAATGCCCCATTTTGACATTTCTTTTGCCCCCCCCTTTTTAAAATTTGGAGTGAAGAATAGTTTTAAGATTTAGGTTCAGATTTTTTTAATTTAAGTTTCTAGTAACTAAAGCCTGGTTTTTAAGTTCTGGAAAGATCTGAAGGACAAAGGGTAAGACACTGCAAGAAAAAAGATACTAACTCAACCTGGATAGTTGATGAAAATAAATTTCATGGTTTTTTTTGTTTTTTTTGTTTTTGGCCAGTTTTTGAGCAAGAAGGTAAATGCAGAGAAAACCACAACAGAAAACAGAATATAAACATGTCCCCTCGTGGACAGATATGTTAAAAAATTATGTGGCCCAATATTATAAGCAAGCATATTGGCACACAGGCCTCCAACCTTTGGAGGGATTAGTTTAAAAAAATTTGCAGAACCTCCAGGCCATTAGTGCCAGTTAGAAACCAATATTCATTTCAACATTTGAAAGAAACATCAGTTTCAACGTGACTTCGCATTCATGAGTTAAGCTAAGGAAACAAACTAAAAGTGATCATAAGATGACTGTTCGACATGAAGCCTTTGAGTCTGACTTCTTGTCTCCATTTGGGCAGTTCATATCGGCTGACCGTCGGAAATCTCACCTGGTGGCCATATTCAATGTGTCCTCATCTGGACAGAGCCATTGGCAAGTGGTTTATGTAGCACCAAGTGAGGCCTTCATAGTGGAAAGGAGAGTTCCTGAGTTCTTGCACACATTTTGATTTGGGGAACTCACCTCTTGGATTAAAGATGCCACGTGAAGGGCAGTGAGAGGAGTTTGCTCTGCAGGTTTGACAACCACGGTATTTCCACAGCTCAGGGCAGGCCCTATCTTCCAAATGAGCATGACCAGCGGGAAATTCCACTAGAAAGCAACAGGAAACAATAGATTCTTTGTATTGCTGAAAGCCTCATCTGCTAATCTAACTTCTGCATTATTCACTACCTAAAGATGTGGAATAATAATTATAGTAGTTTTGTGTAGTCAACTGGTGTCTTCAAATTAAGTTCATTGCTAAAAGCAACCGATAAATGCTGGAAAGCTTCAAGTAAAGTAGATATGGGACAGGAGTGGAAGAGAGCCAAAAATTTTTATCAAGTGCTGTTATTTTGAGTTCTTCATCTACTGGAGGAAAAAAAAAAATTACTGCATGGTTTAAAAATCAAGCCTGACTATTAAACATATTGTAAGTTATCTGCACATCTTTGAAAATTGTAATTATTCCTCCCTCCTTATAGATCATTTGTTGTAACCATGTACCCAATAATATTTAGCAGTGACCTGAAGCTAATATAACATTGTGTGTCAACTATATTTCAATAATAAAAATTTTGTGTGTGTGTGTGTGCGTAGTAGTAGCAGTGTCTATTTCTAAGACAAATATCTTGCTAAAGACAAAAAGTCTAGGGTCTGGTGGCTAAGAACTTGGTTCAAATCTCAGCAAAATCATTGACCAGCCCAGTGAGCTCAGACAAGTTACATGCTCTCCATGCATGATTTCATCATCTGCAAATGCTGATAAAAATCCTCTCTACTTCAAAAGGTTATCATGAGGATTCTTCAAGAAAGTGGGCCAAAGGCTTAATAGAGTGATGGGTTCATCATAGGCATGCAATAAATATTAGCTATTACTAGTATTCAGGATTGTGTAATTTTTATTAGTTTTATTGAGAGTTTTGAACTAATGAGCAATTTCACTCAAAATGTGGCTATGGATGCATAGCCAGGATCAATCTCATTGGAGCTGAAGATAAGTCATTGACACTTTCCCAGCTAAAAGCTTCAGAATATTTAACATCTTTTTATTTGGCTTCTTTGAATATGTCAGTGAAATCATTTAGATTGTCTCCTATTTGTTGGGTTTAAAAGAAAATCTTCATGATTCTGCTTAAAAATACAGCTAAAGGTAGGATAATCCATACAGTGCTCCAACAGTTTCTTCCACTTTAATTAAAAAAATGCATTTAGGACTCAAACACCGGTTGCTACTCTTCTCCGTGATGAGAAGTCTCAATGGGGAGATAATTTGTGTTGGAGAATAGTAGGCCATACTGCTTCGCTAAAATGGCATCCTACAGAGAGAAGCCAGCCATAGCTGCTTTGTTACATACGTGTGAAGCATGGGTCTTAAAAAGAGTATATAACACAGCTTTTTAAAAACAAATCACAGAGTGAAAGGCTAAGATTGTTCAATGCTGTAATATCAAAACACACTCAAGTGATACCCCACAATATAGATATATTTCTGGACTACCTCCTTCATATCCAAAGAGTTCAGTCACAGGGAGACCTAAGCTCATCGGTTCCACATTTAGCAAATATCTAAGGATCCCTATGTGCTGGAGAAAACTTCTTTACCAAATGAAATAGAATTAGAATTCTTTTTTAAGCCTGAAAATGATATAGGAGACCAACTTACAGGAATGATTTGGCCACATACACCAACAGGCTCATGTCTCGTGTAAGTAAAAAAGTTTCCATCTGGAAAATAAAACACACAATCATTTGTGGACAAATATGCTTGACATTCAAGGAATGGTCATGGGTTGATGTGAGAAGAAGGTGTAGACAATAACTGAAAACAAAAACAACAAATAAAGAAATAAAAATAACCCCCTTATCTCCAACCACTTATGAAATGAAAAATCGAGTCCTGTAATAGTAATGTGAAATGAGAGGAACCGTAAAACTGATGTAGGTCAAGGCAAAGATGCAAAACTGGAATATATCTGAAAGATATTTAATTCTCTCATCTTGTAGGAGAGCTATTTTTTAAATAATCCTCATTCTCAAAGTTTACTAGAAAAAAGGTACAAGGTATGTGGCTGAGACAATAACTGTTAGAGTTCTGTTTCTGACAGTTCTATCAGTAATGGTAGAATTTTTTTGAAGTAAAAATAACAAAATTAGAAAAGAGTAGAATTAAAAAATATCTCCCTACAAGCCTACTGGCTTATTCTAAAAGGTGTGTGTGTGTTTTTTTTTTTCCCTACCAAGCAATAAAAGCAAATCTCTTCATCAAAAAAAAGAAAGAAAAGAAAAGAAAGAAAATGCCAGAAGTAAAAGACATTGTTTTGCAATCTGGATTTGATTGATTCATATGCCTCAAAGTTTGATGTGGTCATCCTGAGGTTACTTTGTGCTTTTTTTCTGTTGTAGTTCCCACAAAAGCTTCTTGGCTATCAAAGCAAGAAACCTCCTTATCAAGTCTATTTGTACGTAAAACAGTTTCTCCCATTTTGTCAGAGGGTAAAGTAAGAATTTCTAGAACAGCCTCATTTCTTCTTAACACCATGTTCTCACTCTCCCCTTTTAATTCCTGCCTATTGCTTTTAACTTACTTCTGGATGCTTGAATGAGATTGAAAATGCCCATCAGGGCCAACCTGGAGGGTGCCGCAGTTCTAGAACCAGTAAGTTTATATGAATTAAATTCTACCCATAACGTTTTCCCAGTTGACACTTTTTTATATCCCTCTCCCATTAGCATTCTCTGCTAAAATACTAAAACACATACATACATATCTCGTCACGCAAATTCTTAAACTGAGCTTATTGTAAACACAGTCTCATCTCGGTCTGAAGCTACTTAAAATAAATCAGCATGAATTGGTTTGTTGAATTAATCTACTGTAACTCTACTGAGTGAGACCAGGTGTAGATGACCATAATTGTCTCACACTGGAACACGCAAAAACACTTAAATAATTACATTATAGAAAGGGTGTACATTTCACTATGGGAATACAAAGTAAATCACTCGAGGCCGACTTTGAAAAGTGTGGACAGTTAGAGAGACAATTGCCCTAATTCAGTGACTGTGGGCATAAAAATGTTCTTACTTGAATATTTCTAAAATATCTGTAGTGGTATCTTCTGCACGATTATGCTGAAACAATTTGAAAAAACCATTTGATAAATCTTTGCAGAACTTCCAGGCTCAAAGCTGCATTGTCTCAAAGTCAAGGAGAAAATCAGTCTGCTTTTCAGCTGACATTTTTAAAAGGGAGAGTTTGGAGTAATTCAGCTCTACGGCGATCGCCTCGTGCCTACCCTCACCCCTGGTGGTTTCTCACAGCTACTCACCGATGGGTATTGTGCGGCCTTGGATCTTGTCAGCCCACCCTGCACAGTAGCGTAATGTTGTGATGCAGCCTCCCAAATCCATCAGATACGAACTAGAGAATAGTTTTCCACCATTCATTGATTCCATTGTCTGAAAAGGAAATCAAACCTCAAATGTAAACTTCCATAAACATTTTCAACTAAAAAATCAAGAGTTAATATTTTGAATAATCAGGTGCTAGAGAATTTGGGAAATAGAAAAAAATCCTGTAAGCTATCTTGTATAAACTTTTCTTTCTACAAATGAGGTAAAAAAAAAAAAAAAGAGTAAAAATAACTTGCTTAGACTTGCTTAAGGTCACATAACAAGATACAGATAAAAAGGGTGATAAGATTCTCGTTTCTATACCCTAGCATTCCTTCTATCTCATTCTGAATGTCCTCTGGCTGGACAGATTTCTAGGAATCAGTCCCAATTTGAAAGACACACAGTTGGTGAGAGTGAGTGGCACTTAGTTTCCTAAGTCAGATCAGAGCCCCAGCAAAATTTCACTTATTGTATAAATACAACTGTGGGACAATTTAGTGTCATGACTATGAATGGTGCCTCAGTGATTATTTTTGATTTTGCAGTCCATCCGGCTACAACCAATGTACGCAAACTTCAGTGATCCCTGGATCTTTCATTCATGAGTGTTCTTCAGCAGAACTTTGAATGGTGAAACTCCCAGTTTTGCCACTATTGTCATAATTATTGTCTGAATGGTCAGGCTGGAAAGTGCAACATTTTCTGGTCCGGTGCGCTAACCATCTATCGGATGACGTAGTTTATTTTCTTCTTTCCTTCAGCAGGAACTTTAAGAGCTCTTTGGGATTCGTGTCCTGCCAGGGCAGGAATATACAGGTGAAAAACTTAAAATTGTTCTTCATTTGTTATACAGTCTTCTGTCTCTGCATTATGCTGCATGCCATCTCGAAACTTAATCGAACATGATTTTTGCATGCCTGCTCCTTATTCCCCCTTTGGATCTGATGTGACAGAGGCAGCAAGCACTCTATAATCCACAGAGCAGTTACATTAAGAGAAGCTAAGTTTTAGCAAATTCTGCTTTCTTCTTACAAGACATTTTGGTCAATGTAATTTTATTGTGCATAACTCCTTAACTCCATATTTTTGCATACTTTGATTCATGCTGAACCTTTGAATAATAAATAATTCTTTGACTAACTATAATTGTTAAAGTTGATTTAAAAATATGTATATGGGCTTCTTTGTTACTGCCAGCATAAGATTCTAAAGGTAATAAGAATTTGCTCTGAAACTTGATCTTGGTATTGGTTTGTTTTCAATTGGCTTTACTGTAGTGCCTAATTGAAAAGAAGACAAGGACGGGATGCCTGGGTGGCTCAGTCATTAAGCATCTGCCTTGGGCTCAGGTCATGATCCTGGGATCCTGGGATCGAGCCCCGCATCGGGCTCCCTGCTCCCGCTCCCCCTGCTTGTGTTCTCTCTCTCGCTGTGTCTCTGTCAAATAAATAAATAAAATCTTAAAAAAAAAAAAAAAGGAAACACTCCACTCATTTTACTTGCTGACTCACCTAACTGCCTAAATGTTTTTTAAAAAGCAGGATACATATACAGTTTTTACAAATACACAAATGATTGGATTTTTTTTCTTTATTCTTCAACTTTTTCACCTGTAAAAAGAACATCATTTAATCCAGACCACTGTGAACACGTATATTTCAGGAGGGAAAAAGCGGCCATTTAGTTAAGTTTCTTGGTGGGCTAGATTAAAGAGAAATAAGTTTATTTTAGAGAAATACTCTGGGCACCTTTGACAAAGTCTATGACATTTTCCACAAAAAGAGTTCAGTGGTCAGGTAAGTTGAAGAAACCCGGTATATTATTTCAGGATATTCACTGCATGTGCCCTTGTTAAAGGCTCTAAGGAATTCTAGAATAGAGAAAAGAAATTTGTTTAAGTTGCTTTAACTTGCAGTTTGCCAAGGTTTAGACTGTAGAATGTAATATAGGAGTAGAAATTAACATCGTCCAGAACTAGCGTGCAGATTCCTCTTTGAGAATAAGCTCAATGGTATGTACAATTTCTATACGGGAGCTGGTAGAAATATTTCCATTTTTTTTTTTTTTTTTTTTGGAGAGAATATGTAGTGACAACTAAAATCAATGGAACTTGTGACTCCATACAATGAATGCCTTCTAGAGATCTCTCTACCTGCAAAGTTTGGTTGATACTCACTGCCAAGAGAAGACGATCTCTTTCAATTAAGTCAGCCAACCTGTAGATTAGTCGCCCCCTCTCCGAAGCATTCATAGTACGCCATGGAGAGCCGATCTGAAAAGCCTTTCTTGCGGCCTTCACTGCTTTGTCAATATCTTCCTGCAAGTCAAAGGGAATTCATTTCAGTAGCCTAAACGTGTTAGCAAATCTAATGGCAGCAACCCTATAAAATAGACTAATGGTCCTCATATGCAGATGCTGTGTCTTCGTTAGCCCAAAGTCTGGCACATTGTACAAACTCAGCTCTCACATATGGGAGTTGTGTACCTGCTGCCTAATCTTTAGGATGATGAATTCCACACGCATAGGTCAGGCTTGAGTTCCCTGAATAGAAATACTATAATATTTTAAGATTGCTACCATTGGAGTGCTTGCCATACATATATCAAGTCATGTTCAAATTACTTTACACGCATTAATTCATTTAATTCTTCATAATCATATGACACAAATGTGCTTCCCATTTTACAGATGAAGAAACTGAAGCAAAGAGAGGGAGGAAATTTGCCCAAGTTCAATAGCTGACTGTGGCAGAATGGTTTTAAATGGAGTGCCTCTGACCGTAGAGTCTTTGCTCTTCACCACTACAAATGGCTTTGGTGACTGACCAAGAGTTCCAGGGAAAGCTCAAGATCAACTAACCTGGTGAGTATCTTCTTGGATGGCTGGTGGCTCCACAGCCTGTGGGTGCTCGTCAAGAACCTACTGCAAGGTGAATAAGAACTGGGTTTTGCTGTTGAAAGGTAAACACTACAAGCGTGTGTTCATTCCTCTTGTGCTGAGAGAAAAAGGCATAGAGTAGTGGTGCTGGTATATAGAAGGATCTGCCTGGATATTACAACCTCTCACTTCCCGGCCGGGTAGAAAGAGATCCTTTCAGTTCCTAACTAGGTGACAGAAGTCAGTTTCTTATTATTAAGGTGCGACTTACAATCACATTAATTCAGATAATCAAGCAATTCCACACTCAGTCTAGCCTTCTTAACTTTAGTGATGTTCCTCTTGCTCACACTCTTTCCTCTGAGTCAAGTAGACTCCTTCTGTTCTTTCCTAGCCAACCTCAGTTGCATACTTTCCCCGGGCCTCTTGCAAACACCTTTATTTTTCTGAGATGGAGACAGCATGAGTGTGAGTGAGGGGTGAGCGGGGCTGGCTGAGGGAGAGGGGGAGAGAGAATCTTAAGCAGGGTCCACGCCCAGCACAGACCCCCACGAGAGGCTTGATCTCACAACCCTGAGACTGTCAATGAACTGAGCTGACATCAAGAGTCGGACGCTTCACCCACTGAGCCACCCAGGCTCCCCAGTTGCAAACAACTTAAAGGCATAGATTGTTCCACTGTTCTTTGGTATGTAAGACTGGCCACTACACGGAGCTACATAAATTCCACAAATCATGGCCACATCTTAGGCCAGTTGGTTGGGAATTTTTGCAGAAGACATAATTTCCTTTGAGAATTGGAGGAGAAAATTGCATAAAATTTTCTTAAAGTTGCCCACAATTTAGCTGAACCCCATTCAAGAATGACACCTCCCCCAGTAGGAATCATGAACCTCAAGTAAATGTCCCCCACCTTGGAGTATATTTCATTAAAAAGTCCCAAACTTAGAAGTCTGCAAATTAAAATACAAACAAATAAACTATTTTTACAGTATTTATCACCACACAAAGATGATCTGGGGCCAGTGAGATATTTCAGAAGTGTAATCTGCTTTGATTAAGTGATAACATTCACAGAGCACAAGCAAACATTCTTTCACTATAATACATCATACACTTGTTTATCTCACTGCCTAACTTTTGAGAGAATGATGAATATATACAATAAAATATATGCATTATTACTCACCCTTCCTGAGAAATACGTATATAGTCATATTGGGGGTACTCAGTTAATCACATTGATTGTTTATATTTGGATATTGTTTTATGCCATAAGTTCTAACTTTTTCCAAGTTATATTCAGACAGCAATGTTTGGAAAAAACCCCACAAGAATCTGAAATTGCCAGTGTGATCTATGGATACCACAGCTTATAAAATATATGCTGCTCTGTGTTTAAACAGATCTGTGTGACACAGCTTTCATTTGGATCCTTCTGCTCAGTGTTCTGCCATCGGCCTTAGCCAAATACAGTTTATCAGAGGCATCCTGGCCTCTCAAAGGGATATGAAAAAAAAAATGGCTTCAAGATATCTAACTCTGCCATATGGAAAACACATTCTTGAAATAAAGACTTTCTTGTGGTTGTGTCCTTTGTGCCATAATCCCCCTTTTCTCATAATCTTCTATTTTTTATCTTGCAGGCACAGAAGTAGAGTAATGATAGTTAATACATAGATGTGGAACAAAACAACCCAGGTTTGAATTCTGGTTCCTCATCTATTAGCTCTGTGAGTTTTGAGACATCCATTCACCCATCCATCCATCCGCCCAACAACCATCCATCCATCTATCCATCCATCCATCCATCCACCCATCCATCCATCCATCCATCCATCCACCCAACCATCCATCCATCCATCAATCCATCCAACCATCCATCCATCCATCCATCCACCCAACCATCCATCCATCCACCCAACCATCCATCCATCCATCCATCCATCCACCCAACAACCATCCATCCATCTATCCATCCATCCATCCAACCACCCATCCATCCATCCATCCACCCAACCATCCATCCATCCATCAATCCATCAATCTATCCATCCATCCAAAAATTTACTGAACACTATGCTGTAAATCTTGGTATCAGGCTGCTAATGATCAAGTCGTGAAGACAGGAGATTGTCCTTTTGAAAATTAAATAAGGTAACACTAGAAACACATTTTCTATGTGACAGACATGACTTTGAGCGTTCATTAAGTAGTTGCGGCGAAACAGGCAAAACCACCTTAAAATAACTCTCAGCAGTTCTAGTATATTTTAATCTTTCCTTTCAATTTTCTCTACCGTGTATTATTTTAAGCTGTTATTATCTCATTGTTGCTTGCCTTCCCAAGCCATTCTCTTCTCTCCCCCAACTGTCTTGCTGATTGCCACCAGGCTAATCTTCCTCAAACAATTTTATGTGATCACTTTCCCTTTCAAATACTTGCAGCTCCCTTTGTCTATGGTCCTAAGGCCAAACTCTTCTTTCTGATTTTTAAGACCCAACATTTTTGGGCCCCACCTCACCTATCTAAACTTGTCTTTACATTTTTTTTCTACTCTGTCTGGCCCAACTGCTTCTCACCTTTGCTCCTGTAATTCTCCTTGCCTAGAATGTTCTACCAGCATACCCCGCTATTTTCAAAATTCTACATATTCTTTGAGACCAAATATCACAACCTACCTAAACCCTTACCAGCCGAATCCAGCTTGAGGTTAGGTACCAGTGAAGAGCTTACTAAGTTCCACGCACTAAGTGAAGCCTTCTGTAACCCCACAGTTACTAAGACAATTAAACACCATGGACTTTGTTTTACAGGACATGAAATCCAGCATGAAATCTATCAACCAAAATTTGATCCCACATCTGGCTCCCAAATCCGGTTTTATAGCTCTGCAAGACATCCTGGTAGTGATCTTTGCAATGAATATTTATTGCTATCTGTGTTAAAAGCTATAATATTCCTTACTCTTCTGGGCCTACAATAGGCAGTAAATAAATATTTAATAATTTAATTACCTATCTTTTAAACTCATCATGTTACATTGATTTTATAGAAGAGTGCTCCTGACATAGATAATTTGCTTATATTGACATTCACATCTTAAATCATATTTTAATTGAGTCCATTACATAATAAAGCTTTCACATTAGCCATATTAGGCTTAAGGGTTTTTTGTTGTTGTTTAAATTCTACGAATAGTATTTCCTGGATTTTTACTCCAGGACTAGTATCTCCAGGGACATAATTTCTTAATCCACCAGCAAACAATGTGGCATATTAACTCAGATTTGCCACCGTCAATAACACTTTTGCCTTAGAGGGTTTTCAATGTTCCTTTTTTTGAAGTTCGGATGATGAAATACCAAAGGCCTCTTAAACATAGTTAAGGAAGGAAAAACTTTTCTATCACTCCCAGGCTGCACATTTCCATATTAGATCCATTCCAATTTGGAGAAAATAGTTATCAGACCAGTTTTACTTTTACACCTGTCATAAGCACTTACTTTAATGGACATTTATTTTTATCCCCCCCAATTATTTGTTAGGTCATGCTTAGTATTAGAAGCAGTTTTCAGGATTAGTCAATATAGCCTAAAAGAGCCATTGAAGTGAAAAGAAAACAGTTCCCACCCACATCTGTGCTTTGCTTTGTAACCTCCATTCATTCTCATTCCTCCTCTTCTCTTTATAACACCGTTGAAAGGCGGTATATAGCCCATTTTTAGCTCCATTCTACTCATAAATTAAATCCCTAAAACCTTTTGGCTCATTATCTAAAGAGTCAGCTCCAGAATATTAGGTTTACGGTGACTATGTAATTTACTCAATTTGTTCCTTTCACTAAGCAATGTTAGAAGTTCATGCACATTAGTCTGCAAAATTGTGAGAATAGCAATCATTATTTAAAACCAAACGTCAGTAGATTACACCAAAAGAGAACAGGATGACAATAACACTGACTGTGAAGCAAACAGTGGCTTACCCTGAACAGTTTATATCACAAACAACCGAACTCAAGTGATCAAGCATCTAGCAACTCGATTAGCATTGTGACCTGATTCGAAGCTTTGCTGGATGTTAATGAGTATTCCTGAGCTATGTTTGCACAGACAATGCTGCTCCGCTCTGAGTAATTGCCAATAAGCCCACAGCAAAAAAAAATGACAAATATTTCTAAAGCTTCAGGTATGATCATCAGCTCCCTCTCACTACACTTTAGGAAGAAGGTAAATCCTGCCAACACTGCCAAGGAAAGTCCTCAGACGTCCTGACAAGGTTTCAGCTGGAACTCCGGGCACAGATTTGTTTTACTGATGAAACTAAAGCTGCAAGCCAGTGGCAAAGAGAGGTCCAAGACACCAGAGTCAAAGTATAAAGAATACGTGTTCTTTGGTTAATTGCCAACTGCAACCAGCTCTGCAGTCTTACTCCTGAGTAGCATTTATACCTCTGGAGAGAAGGAGCAGGCAGCTGTCAGGGGCTCACCTTGCCCTTTATTGCTTCCCTCACCTACCCTGGGTTGCCAGAGCCACTCAAGCAACTAGAAGGACATTTGATGTAATGCAGGGCTGGAATGTAGTGTTGGGTAGATCTCCGGAAGTCTCTGATAAAAAGTCATTTCTCTGTTGAATAGGAAGAACACAGGTTTCTCTTCTTTCTAAGAATGGCCCAAAGGACACAGGCTTCTGGGTCTCCTAAAACACGTTGCCAGGGGTCATCAGTATTTCTCTGCTCAAGTTTGGTCTTGTAACATTTCATAGGGGGTGCAGTGAGATTATCACAGTGCAGGTTCCAACTCCAACTTTCTTACTTATCAAAGTCCATGCCCCCTATGAAATGCTAACACAATTTAACGGTTTAATACCTTCATTCAGGAGTTCTCCACGTATATTCTACCACTCCCACCCCAACCAGTAACATCAGCATCCCCTGAGAATTTGTCAGAAATGCAAATGCTCAGACCCCACCCTAGAGTTACTGAAACAAACTCTAGGGGTGACCCAGCTACCTGTGTTTCAACAAGCCTTCCAGGGAATTCAGGTGCATACAAAATTGTGAGAAACACCGCCTTAGTCAGTAGTTAATTTAGTACCAGATTCCGAGGACAAGGTGTGGCGGGGGGGGAGGTATATGGAAACTCAGAGCTTGATGGAGGATTTTTATATATGATTTATGTAATTTCATTTATCCATTACCTGTAGCATGTGAGATACTGAAAAGTATAAAGGTAAAATGTAGTGTCGATCTCTACAAGAAGCAGGCTGTCTCAGACAAATTAAATGATACCCATATAACACAGGGCTTATAATATAGATAAAGATTGTATTCTGCACTGGCACAGAAGAGAGCTAGTCTACCTGGGAAATTTGGGGGGCTTTAAAAAAATATAAGACCCTATAACGACTGAAGCTCTGTTATGTGCCTGGCACTGTTAAAACACTTTACATCTTTTTTTTTTTTTTTTAAGATTTTATTTATCTGTTTGAGAGAGAGCCAGAGAGAGAGAGCACGAGCAGGGGGAACAACAGGAGAGGGAGAAGCAGACTCCCTGAGCAGGGAGCCCAGCATGGGGTTCAATCTCAGGACCCTGGGATCAAGACCTGAGCTGAAGGCAGATGCTTAACCGACTGAGCCACCCAGGCGCCCCGACATCTTTTCCTATTTAACCTCCCCCAAGTTTTTCCTATCTCCCCATTACACCACAAGGAACCCAAGCTCAAATAGGGTCAATAAAATGTGGAACATCTGTGCTCTTTCTACAGCTAATGATTGGAACGAGGCCCCGAGGACCGTACTTTGACCCTGGCAGTCACAGTGGCTGTGAACGGCATGCACCATTTGGACCGTGATTCTGGGCATGGTGAGGGTGAAACTCCTATGTTGATGGAGTGGCCTGAGAAAAGGCCAAAAACAAGAGGGGTTTTCTCTGTTTTTGTTTTTTCCCCAGAGGCCAGTGAGAAGCCCATGAAGAATTTATGCACAGGTGAACTCTGGTATGTACAGAAAGTGAAATCTGAAAGTAGGTGACATGTGTTCTCCACTCCATTCTGCATCTACTTCTCAAGCTGTCGGCCCTTGAGGTTAAACTCTGCATGCTTGCCCCTTGAGGCGCGGATCTTATGTCTTCTGGTAATACTGCCACCTGAATCCGGGGGCTTCTCTAAACCCAAACAAGCCCCTGGGGTCTATGGCTATCTTAGAATAAATCTGCAAGGCTTAATGCCTTCAACTAGGGATCTCATCACGTGGGCAGAAGGTAATGAAAGAATGGGAACTGGGCAGGAACATGGAACTGAACACTGGGTCACAAAAGGTATTATCCTTGGGGCTCCATCCGGACTTCATCTTTCAATGGTCTTTTTACGTAGCAAAATAATTTACCTTTTTTTTTAAATTTTTTTAAGATTTTATTTATTTATTTGAGAGAGAGAGAATGAGAGATAGAGAGCACGAGAGGGAAGAGGGTCAGAGGGAGAAGCAGACTCCCTGCCGAGCAGAGAGCCGGATGCGGGACTTGATCCTGGGACTCCAGGATCATGACCTGAGCCGAAGGCAGTCGCTTAACCAACTGAGCCACCGAGGCGCCCCCAAATAATTTACCTTTTAATACCTTGTAGGACAGAGATTTCAAGCTTGATAACATTTGGACAACTGAAGACTGAGAAACACATTCACATTTTAAGGTACATGCTCAGATGAAAAATCGGAAGGCTTTCATTCTCCTCACTCCCCAGGCTGTTTCATATTGTCCTATCTCACTTTTATAATAATCACAAGGTAAGGCAGCCCTCCCTCCCAGTCATAGACTCTGGAGTCAGAAGGACAGCATTTGACTACTGATTTTGTTATTATTATTCTTTTTATTTTAAAAATTTCGTTATTTATTAGCAATGTCCCCTAATGTAAATTAGTCATCCTCTCCATTCTGCTATTTCGTTATCATTTGTGAAAACAGCTACAAATAGTACCTTTCCCATCGAGATGCTTAAATTAACATTTAGAATTAAAAAAATAATAATGATATAAGTTGGTTTTTGTTGGTGGTGGTATGATTAGCTAGAAAGCAACAATACATTTAATTCATGGTTCAATTTCTGTGATTTTAAAATTCAATTTTTCAAGGTACCAATTCAATGATTTTTAAGGAAATAATCTGGCAAAATATTGTTTCAAACATTCTATCTTGTTTCCTTTAGTTTCGTTTTGCAACCTAACAAAAGAACAATTTTATATGAATAAAGGATTTCTCTGCTTTATAAATCAGTGACTAATCATATGTAGTCTGTTTATATAATAAACCCAAATATTATTTAAACTGAAGAACAAGCAAAGAGAAATAGCATGAAAAAAAAAAAAAAATCAGGACCATGGGCTCATCATCATCACATGGCTACTGAGAACCCTTGATGTACCAAGAAAAATTTCCCCGATGGCCCCAGAAAGGGTAATTTCATGACCTGTTTACTTCCAAGCTGTGGTGGGATTGTGAGCGCAGCATGGTGGGAAACAAAGAAAGCTAGCCTAAGTGCTGGGAAACCCACCTTATCTCCTTCTTCCACTTCACAGAGTTTCTCCTCGGTTGCAGGATTAAAGACAGGAAACTTCTTGCCACTCACTGAATTATGCCATTCATTGTTTATGAAAATCTGTAGACAGGGAGAGAAAGGAGGTAACAACCCTTTAAATATGCAGAAATTTGAGAAATTCTTTTATAAACTTAGAGCATTATAAAATGCCTAAGTGAGGCCAATGTCAAAACCTTCACATACCTCCCCCCAAGGTATTTTTGGCTGTTCAAGACGTTTTACACACGCATACACACATGCGTGCGTGAGCACACACATATTGAAATAAAGTAATACTTTGAAATTACGCTGAGGTACGAGGTCATGTCACCCCTGGAAAATACAGACTGGAGAAAACCTTCTAGAAAAAGTGCTTTTATCTGAGTTTGAGGCAAGAGCAGAGGCTTTGGTAGCTTTCATCTTTATTAATCCTAATTTTTCACTTCAGATTCTGAGCATCCCCCTGTTGGGCTGCTGGTGATTTGGTATCGTAAGTGACTGTTTTCTCATCCTTTATTTCACTCTATTAAAGGTAGCTTGGGGGACAGTTTTAAAAGAAATTTGCTTAGAAAAAAAATTGGCTAGTGACATGTTTTCACTGACTTTTTCCAGGCATAAGGGTTTTATTCTTTTAAAGAGATTATCTAATCATTGATTTGTCCTCAGATGAAATCAGGCACTAGATTTGTTAGTGATATCTAAGAGACATGCATCTAAAAAGACAGAGGGGTCTAGAAACATGGAATTTTGTTCTGTGTATAAAAGAATGGCAATACATAAAAGTGTTAGAATGTCATTTAAAAAGTCTTGAGTTTCAACTTTTGTTGCCCTGAATTTCTGCTTCATTATGGAGCTTACTAGGGCTTCGATATGTCATTCAGCTTTTCCTAGAGTAAAAATGTTTTACAAAGCGTAATTAAGAAGTACTGCTTTTGTGATAAAGTTATGTTTTGTTTCCGGCAAAAGCCAGAATTTCTTCTCCCTCCTCTCGTTTCATTATTTCTTGTTTATTCTCCTTTTTCTTATTTATTTTTGAAATATAAAGATTATCATAAGTATGCTATTGAACTTTATGTATTACAACTTTCTGTTAGATTTGTTATTACAACGTGAATTAGTCTATTTAATTGTGAATCACAGGGAATTGATACACCCAGTTTTAAATGGTGACATCTGCACTGGATTTTTTACATATATCTTAATCCAGACACCTCCCCTTACTTGATATTTAAAGATAAGTTAATAGTGCAGCCCTGAGGGAAAAGGTATTGAACAGCCCACCTCCCCGCCCCTCCCCCAAGGTTTAAATCTGTTGCTATACTAAACACAAATCAGTTAGCTACTAAAAATTCCCCAGTGGTGGCTATCAAGATTATACATTTTTAGTTTAATTACTTATATTATGTATGTTTGAAGTAACAGCAGTCTTTAAATTAATCTGTGAGTTTATACTAACTTAGCTATTCTATTGAGTGGTGTCCATAACATAGCTTAATATTTAGTCACATTCATAAAATGTGTATTACCATGTATCCCTAAATGCTTAAGTAGAATTAAGTCTATATTCTGTGATTTACATTATTTAGACAGGCAGCCTGTTCTCCAAAATATTCCCCTGTGCTCTCCTAAACTTCTATCACGAAACTTGTCACTTTTTTAAGAAGTCATTTTTAAATGTCTGCCCTCTCTCCTAGGCTGTAAGCTTGGTAAGATAAGGTCAAGGACGATGTTCGTCCGGTTTTCTGGTTTATCCTTAGGGTCCAATATAGTCCCAGTCCTCAAGTGATTTTCAGCTCCGTCAAGAATTCTGGAATAAATAACTTAAAATTGCATCAAAGAACCTACAAATCTAGTAGCTACACATGGGTAAGATCTATAATGTTCTGCACATGGGCACACTATGATATTTGTGATTTGCTGAAAAAAAAAACAAAGGGAAGGCTAAGCCTTCATATTTGCCTATTCACACCAGTACAGTTACTCGTGCGTCAAAACAGCACCAACCCAGTGTTTACAGAAGTTCACAAAATTATAGTGCTAGCCTGGAATTGTCAGGAAAAAGATGTGAGTGTGAGTAAATAAAGGGGAGGGGATGCCAAGCAGCTCAGATGAGGAGACTAGAAGTCCAAGGACACACACGTGGGGGTGTGGGAAAGGATAACGGATACAAATGAAAACCATACAATTCCTATTGTCCTTCAAGAAAAACGTGTTGGCATCTGAGTTCAACTTGAAGAAAGATAAATTCGAATTAAAATACTGACTCGCACAACATCTAGGGTGAATCAGCATTCCATCTCTCATGAAAACATTTTGCAGAATCCTACAATTAGGCTTGAGGCAAGTGTTTTCCTTAATACATCTCTAGCCCTTCCTTTTTTGTACTTTTCTTCCCAAAGGTTGGCTGGGAAATATCTTAATCAACATGTTCCAAATGCAGCTCACTGTCATCCCTCGCTTTATGCTGCTTTTTACCCCAGACTACAGTTCTATAATTTGCACATTCTCTCTTCTCCCTTTCTCTCTCTCTCACGTACACACTTTCCCTCTCCTGTTAATGACACACACAATCCCTAGTCATCTTTAGTATCATGCTGTTCTATACTATCACACACACAAAAACAAACAACCAAAAAACAAAAACTCCCTGTTCTCCCCAGCCCCCAACCTCTGCTTAATTGAAATTTAATCCCTTCCACCCCCCATTGTCATAATCTTCCTAAGCCAACCCAATTCACATTTTGGCCACTCCTCAGAACACTTAGTTGGTTTTCCTAAGCATACATGGCCCCATTATGCTCTTCCAACCTTTTATTTTATCTCCTCAGTCCACCCTCTACTTTGGCCTCATTCTATACCATGTCCTTCTGCTTCACACCTTTATTCATACTGTTCTTCAGATTGGAGTTTCACAATTTTCTTCTACTCATACTTCTAGTCTTGCTTCAACGGTCACCTCCTCCTGAAGACTTCACTCGTTGGTTCAATTGGATTTAACCTCTTTTTTTCCCCTCTTTTCTGACACAGCTTTTCATATCCTGCTATTAAATTACTTATTATGTTCTCCCAAATAGTGAGTAAATACCTGAGACATCTGGAAGATACTGTGGGGAAGTGTGAGAGAGTGAGCCCTTGCCCTCAAGGGGCTTGGAATCAAAGAAGAGAGTATATTCACACCAACATCAGCCAGTAAAGAATTGAAGGTTGTATGTAGGGTAAAGACCAAAGCAGTGCTTTAGTCAGTACCTTGTGGAGTGGAACCCAGAAAAAGGTAGGCAATGGGCCAGAAGAATGCATCCTTGAAGGACAGGATTGGATTGATGGAAAGAGCAAACGAGCAAAGAAGGGAACACTCTTGGGATACATATAACACAGGAAAAAGATGAGCCCCAAACAGAGAGTTTGTGGAAACAAGTCATAGATAAGTTTCGACGATGCAAAGGAAGCCAGTTCGTGGTGAATCTTGATCCAGAGAGTAAGATGGTTGGACTCTATTCTGGAGGTAATAAGGGATCGAATGGATGTTTGAGGAATGTTGATGTGAATGTACCCAAAATGGATGTGAAGTAGAGAGACCAGAATCCCGGGGGATTAGCCGGGAGAAATTTTCACATTCCAGGCGTGCGTTCGTTCGTGAGGCTCGAGGGTAGATAGCGCGAGAGAGCAGTAAGTCTGCAAATTATGAAATGTATGCTTTCTCCCCTAAACAGAAGCCTTTCAGCATAAAACCACAGAACCCAGCATAGTGAGATGACCAAGATGGTATTAAGGGCCAAGTATTGCACCTTCCTTTTCTTCCCCTTTTATTCTGTTTTAATTTTGTGGGCTTTACATTTGACATTTGCTTTTCAGCTAACTGTGTGACGAAACGTTTGTGAATAATCATCCTTCCTGTTATATAAAATGGTTATGTGGAGAAGTATTGGCTAATGGATGTTTGGTATAATCATTATGAAACCTATTTTAGGCCCGTTGAAATGATCTGTCATGGTGACAACCTCATTTTCCATTTGCTGTTTGCCTTTAGCAAGTTTAGCGGGAAAGGGATCATCCCATAAAAGTAGAAAAAAAATATCTTGGGTCCCATTTAACTACTATATGAACTACATTCCACTTATGAGTTTCAGACTCAGGATATTTTTGAATAATATATGTACACTAGACCTCAGCTTAAAGTTCATAATATTGATTAGGAATTATAGATTCCTATGCATGCTCTTAGACATCACATACTTCTTATTGGGGGAAACAATCAATGGGAGTGTTGAGGAAACTTAAAAATTGATTTTTATTCTTTAAATTTTAGATATGCCAGGCTTTAAGGGAGGCATCACGGCCTTTGATTTAAAAAAAGAAAAAAAAAGTGGCCGTTTCCTGAATGCAGTTTAATGTCTGAGAATAAGTCATAATTTGGGGGGGGGGAAACCTTTCCAGAGTAAAAATGACTATGTCTTTACGTGATTGGTATAAAGCCACAATTCTAAATAAATAAGCCCTTTCCTCAAAATATTTCTGGCTTGGATCAAGCTGAATTTAACTAATAGGCAAAATGAAACCTATTAGCTTTGCCTGTTGGTATAAGATTTTGGAACCTGTTGGCTTAAAGGGGAGAGAGCCCCCGACTCCCTCCAGTAAATATTCAGGGTGCCCTAAATTCACATCATCTCTTTAGGGCTGCGACTGGGCCAGTGGCTCTAGATCCTAGAAGGGAATCCAGTGCTTTCTCGGTGGCAGAGAGATTTTTAACAGGTTACATTTTCAGTGCACGGAGGATTTATCTTAAGATATGCCAAGGGTGAGGAAGGTGATGGAATTCCCCATATTATGTCTCCTGTGTGAATTTTCAAACTCGAGAGCCTGGGTCACAGCATGTGGAGGGGTGGGTGTTGTTGTAAATGGACAAGAGAGGCTGCGTGCTGTAAATATGTAAACCTTTTCTCAGCATTAGGCACTTAAAAAAGTACCAAAGACTTTGGGGGGTGGGGGGTTAAGTAACAAAATGGGGGATGAACTAAAGTCAGGGAGAGGTGTTAAACATTTAAAAGAATCATAGCTAGATCTCTGGCAACTACATTCATTCC